GACAATTTGTAGTGTTTTATTTCAACAGGAGGAGATACACAAACATGAAAGATAACATTCCGAGTATTAGTTTTTAGTGTAGGTTTAAATACATGAAAGATAAGTGAAAAATAATGATTTTTCGAAAACTATGTCTAAGGTTTCTTGTTGATTGCCTCCAACTCTACTATTCAAACATAATGTATGTGAACTCAAGCTATCTAGACCAGTAACAACATTCAAACTTAAATTATAGAAATCTATAAGAACTACAGGATTAGACAAGTGCCGCATATTAGTTTTCTTGTTATTCAGTAAACAATCAATGTAGTTGTAATAATCACTTAAACATTAAACTAATAATTATAGATATATGTATTGAGGCAATGAGAACTGAAATACATTTTACGACTGTTCATTCGGGTTGATATTTAAATCGATTGTGCATTGAAACAATTGAAAGCAGAATGAATAATTTGGGAGTGAAGAAACTATTTACCTAGCTTCATATAGTGAACATTACAAACTGCCCTCTGGTTATCTGAAAACTGTTGATTTTCTACAATTTTTTAAATTGCAACAAAAACCGCCCTGAAGGTTTCAAACCTGGTTTAAACAAACAAGTGAATGTACCAGAAGAAATTAGACAAAAGTGTGGAATAGATGATAATAATAATTAGAAAGAATGAAACCTAGTCTTTTGCATTTACCTTAGATTGCTCTTGTTCAAATGTAGTAGTACTATTATTAATAACAGGTAATTTGGCAGTTGGCTGACACAATCGAACAGCGCATACTCGACAGACATATTCAGAGCCTGGATTTAGACCTGTTATACGACATGCTGTTTGATTTCCTCTGTACACCTGTTGAATTTTAAAAAAACCTCAGTGAAAATAGAAAATAACACAAATAACACTGATAACGAAGTGACATAGATATTTTAACAACGATATTGGCATGAATCAACCATTTTTATAATTCATTGGATAAGTTAGTAATAAGCATCATAGAACTTAGCACATATATGCATCGGTTCAAGTTGTCAAAATAAAAGGTTGTGAATTGGACTTGAGTCCTTAAATTTCCAATTACGAACGATTGGAAAATTCTTTTAATATGAAATGGGACCTATGGGGACTGCAAAAACTGAAAAACTAATGCACAGCACTTAAACGAGTATTCATGGATGAGCCAGAAACGAAGCTTTTTAAGAAAGATGCATTGAGCGAGATCTCAGAAGAATTAAAGTACACTCAAGTTAATCTAATTACATATCGATTATTCAATGAATATCAATTCTAAAATTTATCAGACCGAGTAACTGTCAATTTTGAAAAAAAATCACAGTGGATTTATGAATACAGTGAAACTGTCATGAAATCAGTTAACTAACTTCATACTGAACATATTAATAAAAACGCTAACACATTGAAAATCAATGATGAATAAAGTTCGCTTCAATCCACATGTAAGTTTTAAAACTGATTTCTCCTTAAATGTAGTATTTGAGGATTCAGCATCCTCAGCACAACACCAACACAGGATGACGAAATGATCAAAATGAATACCAAAGTAGTAATAATATCAGAGATAGTAAAAATATTAGGCATCGAGAATGGGATTCAAGAAAAATGAATGAATTCACAGAATAAAAGGTATAAAATAATTTTTAAAAAATTAGGAGCTAATGCAAGACAAAGAGTGAATGGGTCCGTAGCACTGTGAAAGATTCTCAGACGTTGTCAAACATCAAATTATCATGATAATTTTACAGAGTCCAACTAGGTAGTCTGCACCTATGAACATGGCTCAGACCAACAGTCAGTCATTTCACAGACTGATGATACATTTTAGTTTGGCCACCTCTAGCCTTCTTCCAAAGTGTTCCTAGTCCATCCAACGTCGTTCAAGTAGGCAGTTTTTAGCTATGAGTTCACAGTCTTATCAACTGATTTACTATCTTTACCTAATATTAGTTGTCTAACCTGGGCAATGGTCACTTTGTGGTTCAAACATATTCGAAGGCACCTACGATCACATACTAGTAATATATGATAATCTTTTATTTGAATACAAAATTATTTTCAGCTGACCATTATGAAAAATATACATTGCCCCAAGTTATCACACCACACTAACACGATGAGATGAGAGCAACAAGTTGATAAACTGGTGATTGATAAAAAAAGGTTAATGTACAATTAATAAACTTTTAATTCGAGGAAGTAATGATTGAATGTAAAACGATCACTGAGTTATGTCATCTTATACCCGAGAGTCTTAATTTTTCCACTTGATAGATTGCAATGATTGGTTGGACTTTTTACAATATTTCTCATTATAAATTAACTGACAGTTGCTAATGAACTTTTGGTTTGGGACTCTACTACTCATGATCTTGACAGAGATCAAAATGAAAACCTGAAATACATAAAATCACGCTGTAGTTAAAAAATATAGAGTTAAAGTATTGACAAAAAAATTAACTACAAGGGCTCGACGCATTTAGTTCCAAAGTTTCGGGATAGTTTTGTTGTAGCATACAAAATAGATGTATAAACAGAGGTGTCTATTCTGAGATAAAGTTATTCTTGTCGAACTTAATAATAGATTAAAGTGGAATTCTTTTGAAATACAAGAATCAGCTTACAAAGAGATCCTAACAGCATACTTAATTCAGTTGATGATTATAATACCAGCAATTTATTATATTGGGGGACTAATGATGTGTTTTCATCGCAATTTCAATGGAAAAAATAAAATTAACGAGAGGAATTGATTGATATTTGTTTATAGGCACGTGCAGTCTTTGAAAGGTATCATTTAAGAATGTGATAGTGTATGGAATACATGTCGCCTTATCCATATATTTCGGGACTGATCTGGATCGTTGCATAAACTAACTATGGGAGTGAACTTTTATCGATTGAAGTGGTTGATACATGTGTTGAGCATTTTAAATCACAAAGCAAACTGATGTGAAAAAACTGGCTCGTAGAGTATGTGGGAAGGTTAAGCACGGTCGAACATAGGTATGGGATTAATCCTTAGGGCTACTGACAGTTGGACGTAAGCAACTGGAGGAACTTCTGACCTACTGGTCAAGATTCGCGTGACAATTGAAGACATTGGATGTTATCATACCTTAAAATCGTTTACAATCGGCTAATCGTGTTCATTTTCTATATAGCCATAAATCTTGATGTTTGATTGGACTGCACACTTTTTGTGTCATGATTTCATTCATTCCAACTATTGCTTTGGTTACTTTTAGTCAGTCGCTTCTCGTCGGTAGAAATTTTTTCATGTTGTTCTTATGTAAAATGTGATAATTTGAGTAAACTACTGTATAATTTTATTTTTAAAATGATTACCGCCAAATATTATCTGATATATGAAGACTTTTATATCACAGTTGAAAGCAATGATCTGGTAACTTAAAGGTTGTCACATTTAAATCGTATTACAAATTATTATAGTTTTTAAAACTTCGATTTGCTTGATAGATAACAACTAAAGGACCAGTCAGTCAGCTACAACGTAGAACCAGACACATATATGCATCGGTCCAAGTTGCCATACCTCATTAACACAACAAGACGAACATCGGATTCATAGAAGTGGTTAATTCAGTGGTGGTAATATATAAAATAAAAGGAAGATTGCATATAAGGATGTAGTACAAGTCCGCTCTCCCTCTCCAAATGCTCTCACATGGCCACGCGTATATAGCCTCTGCCAGGGAAGTCCTACTCACTGCCTTCTCGTGGCATTACTGTTGTTTACGAAAATGAGAGGAAGAAAAACGAATGTCTGGCGCTTTAACCGGATCCCAAATCTATGGTGCACATGGGCTCCAGTATCCTGAGGGAACAAATGGCGTATAACAATTCACGGGCTGCATCTCCTTACGATGTTCCACTGCTTGTGGATAGCCTTAGGTTGAAGAAAACCACCTGCTTCGGTTTGGGCACCCGGGCAGTATCACAGCCCTCACACATATCGAATGAGATTTGTGTGGCGCATATGTATTTGGTGCCTCCTTGTACCAATATCTATGTGTTAAAATAAATAAATAAATAAAACAAAGAATTAGTTCGTAGAAAGAGAGATATGAGGTGATTTTAATCTCATAGTATAAGGGAAGACAGAGAGTGTATATACCGACGCCATTGTGATGGATTCTCACCCATGTCACCAAGAGTCCCCAACCATTGGTTACGATAGTCACGCGGACACCAACCAAGTAGTCTGCATCTAATAATGTGGCTCAGACTAGAAGTTAGTGACTTTGTGGACTGATGCCACGTTTTAGTTTGGCCGTCCCTAACTTTCTTCCAACCATCCCCTACACTAGTCAGCATTGCGCGTCGTGATAATCGGTGTTCAGGCATACGTAACACGTGGCCCAACCATCTCAGTCAACGAAGATTTACAACCTCATCAACTGATTTACCACCATTCCCTAATAACTAAAGGACCAAATATATACTCTAAAGTTTCAAATAAAACATTGAAGCAAGAGTCCATAGAATTAAAAACATTTACTATTTGGGAGTGAATTCAGTGAGGCTACAAGTAACAATCTGAAACACAATAATATTCATAAAGAATATAGTACACAGCTCTTTTTTAATTCTTAATATGATCACGTACCAAATAACTGTTAATTAAAAAGTGTCAATATCTTGATCACGTGATTATATTGGCAATGTTTTTAAAAAATAGATAATACAAGAAAGGGTGCAAGAGTGTTGCATTTTGCAGAAACAATTATTAGCTAAACACTCATTACCTAACCTGTGCAACACTTAAAAGGATACAAATGTCAGATTTTGTTCATCTTCTTGACCGATATTTTTTTATTTTACTTGTTCTATTTACATTTGTTGTTTCACTCACTTTCAAAATGCATTGCTTAGTTCATTATGTGATCTTTCACTTACTGTAATACTTCGAAACCTATGTGCATCCTTCGGTTCTAGATAATTCCCACTTTAATTTTCTTCATTTTGTTTAGGATATTCTTTTGATCTCCTCATTTTACGTAGATAATTTGATTGGTAATCTTTGTAATTCAAAGTCATGTGGTTTGATTACGTGATATTGTGTTAACCATTGGATGATGAGTCAATGATCTGGAAGTTGAACGCTCTCAGTAAGATCAAATTTATTGAATTTGACCCATGATATGGTTGTAGATGTGCACTGATGAGGAGTCGTATGCTATTCAGTGCTGCCTGGTTTTCAATGGTTGTCTAGTTAAGAGCAGACTGTGATGTAAACTACAAAAATGTTTATTAATTATTAAGTAATAAGTTAAACAGCTGAGTAGTAACATCCCCTCAACTTACAATGTAAACGGCGTAGGCCAATCTCTTCGATTTTCCCAAAGTATCTGTTAAGGTTGGTGATTTCGGTGAATTTCAGTGCTCTAAATTCAGAGAGTACGATTTCATCTGAAATTGTCCTCTCGAGTTACAAAACCTTGTTCACCATGGTCGTATAACATTTCACCTAATAACAGAATCTTGATGTTAAGCGTTTGGATGTAGTCAGCGGGAAATCCTAGGCCCAAGTTTCTTATTATTTGACACTTATTGAAAGAGCATACCTGCAGTATTAACAGAACTGGTGCTTCCCATGGAATCTAAAATCACGTTATTCAGCTTCATAGTTTGAGATATTGCTACTAAGCTATACGAGTCACAGCTGGTATCCCATAAGATTGTTATATTTATATAAATAAACCGTTGAGGGCTGACTGTCATTTTTATCCAGTTCTTAATGCTGATCGCATTCTATCTGTCAATTTAGAATGTAAACATTAGTTTGTATGGCTCGGTATCGAGTGCATAATTGTTTTTTAGTGTTAGGGGGTCGGAAGATTTTTCAGTAATCGCATTTAGACATTTTCGACATTTTAAAGTTTATCAGTTAGGTTGATCAACAAAATTGTACAGTTATATTGTATAATAATTGCACTACAGAAGTGAAAAATAATGAAGTATAGTGTACAGGTCACAATGCCAACTAGACACAAACCTATTGGAATAACATGTTTAAATACATAAAACATGCACATACCCTAAAGACTATAAATCATAATTAAAAGTGATACAATAGAACGGTGTCAACTCTCAATAATTTATCTATTGATTTTAAGCTGAACAGTGGAATATAAGATTATCTTGGTTTAACTAATGTAAAATAAGTATTCAAAATGAATACAGTACAGTACTAGAGTAAAACGAGACATTTAGCAGGAAGAATGTGAATTTATTGCTGGTAGTAACAAAGTCCAGCTAAACAGTGTAGCAGCAGCCCCTACAGCAGTAGGCTTTAACATATATAAGGGAAAAAGCAACATCTTCAAATACAACACGACGAACAATAACTCAGTGGCATTTGATGGAGAAAATCCGGAAGATGTAAAAAATTTCACGTACATAATCCATGAACAAAGAGGACCTGAAGCAGAGGTAAAGGCGAAAATTAACAGAACGAGGGTCACATTTCTACAGCTGAACAACATATGAAACTCAAAACAACTGTCAACTAGTATCACAATCAGAATCTCTAATGAGAACGTCAAGACAGTTCTACTATACGGAGCTGAAAATTGGAGAATCACTACAACAATTATCGAAATGGTACAAGTATTTATAAACAGTTGTCAACTTAAGATACTCAATGTCCGTTGGCCGGATACGATGAGCAACAGCCTACTGTGGGAGAGGATAAACCCACTTCTATCTGAAGAGGAAATTAGGAAAAGATGTTGGAGGTGGATAGGACATAGATTGTGGAAATAACCAAACTGCATCAATAAGCAAGTGCTCACCTGGAATTTTGAAGGGAAACAGAAAAGAGGAAGATCAAAGAGCATATTACGTCGAGAATTGGAAGGAAAAATGAAAAGGATGAATAGCAACTGGAAAGGATTACCCAGGACAGAGTTGAATGGAGAATGCTGGTGCATGGTTTATGCTTTTCCCCGAGGGGTAACAGGCGTAAGTTAATGATCAATTTCCATCTTTCGGTGAGTTCTGCCATCTGAACTGTCTTCTCCTATGGTCTCCAAGTGTTCTATCAATGTCGTGCTTTAGATGCAGTAAGACTCTTACATCCCACCTGACAGCTGTTGCAACTTCGACGCTACGTCTGCTATACACTACTGACAAATATCCCTGTGAGTAGCGTTCACTACACTGGATGTTAATGAATATTCTTAAAAATCCGAAGAAGTTAAATAATGTTCTAAATTACCATCAGCTAATAAGCTCCTTTGAAAAATTCCCTGAATCTAATTGATAAAGTTCATGTAAATTGAGATGAAGGAGAGGATTTGTAGCTCAGATGGATGATTTAGGTGGCTGGATGGTTTGGTCCTCTAGCTTTCATTGTCCTTCAGAACAACATCATCAGCACAAACTTCAAGTAGAAGTGATCTGTTCGAATTTCTCCACATATGAACCATAGCTTGGTCTGTTGATCTCGATCTTGATTGATTGTTGTTGACCTTTAGCCTGTCATTGTCCACTTCTTTATTTTGATTGTATTTCCACCTAAATCATCTACCTGGGTTACAAATCTCCATCATCTCAAAATCATATGAACATAACACGCTTCGCATTGTTTGGATATGGGAGAAGTTTGACAAAAGACAGGCTTCCATTGGCGAACAACTCTATTTACTCCACGAGTATTTCCGTCAGCATGTTCTGTTAACAAGTGTAAGATACAGACCTCCAACCAACTGCCCAATGGAATGGAGAATAGATGAAAAAAGTGGAATAAAAATGGTACGCCTAATGATAACTGATGCATACTACAGGATTCAGAGATACCAACACGTCATGGATGACCGAAAGAGGGTAGAGGGGATATTCACATCAGAATATTTGGCAATCTTAACAACAGCGATCGAGTTATCAGACAACACAGGGAACAAAGAAGAAAAGCCCTCAAAAGAAAACAAATCAAGATTTCATAACCAAGCATGGAAAAAGCACAAACCACTGAGTGGTCAGCCTGCCAAAGGAACCTCTGACATAGAGGAACACCTACTCCGAAAAAGGCTAAACTACAGTACAAGTGACACCTCAAAACTCAAATTCTTCGCCGCACTAGAGTCATCAGTCAAAACTGCTAGAATAAGTGAAATAAACCAACAGTAAATAAGGCACACCATAGTACTGCTAACTCGATAGAAGAAAGACAACATCAACTGACTACACAAGAACAAAAAGCTTTAAAGAAACTGAGAACTAGAGAAGATATTGTCATAGTTCCAGCGGGCAAAGGACGCACTACGGTGATTATGGACAAGGAAGAATATATCAGGAAAGCCGAGGAACTACTTGAGGATAAAAGTGCATAGAAACCAATAGACAAAAATCCGGTCAACAGGTTAAAGAACCAAATTTCGAAGACTTTAAACAAGCTTGTCAAAGTAGGATAAATATCAAAGCAAGATCAATGGAGGATGAAATCCAATGAACCAGTACACCCCCTATTCTACAGAAGGCCGAGAGTACACAAACCAAATATCCCATTACATTCAACTGTATCACTCCTTGGAACTCTAACATTCAATTTATCGAGAGGAATTTAATTAATATTGGAACATTCAATCACTCCATCAAATCCCCTATACACTTCCTGGATTACATTAAGGACATTCAAATTAACAATGATGAACTGATGACATTCTTTGATGTGACAGTCTTATTCACCTCAATTGAAATAAGCTTAGCAAAGGAAACCTTATCCCTGCTTCTCACCAACGACAGAAACCTCGTAAAGTACATGAAGCTTCAAAGTCAAAGTTTACTACAACTCATCGATTTATGCTTAACAATAAACTTCCAATTCAACAATAAAATCTACGAGCAAACGAAAGAAACACCGATGGGATCATCAATATCAAGACTTATTGAAGAAGTGATGGAGATACCGGGAGCCTCGATCTTACTAGCGATCAAGCCAAGAATTTGGATTCGTCATGTGGACGACATGTTCGTCATCGTCAAAAAGAACGAGTTGGAAAACACCTACAATCTGACCAACATTTTCGATGACATAAAATTTGCAATGGAAAAGGAGTTAAAAAACAAACTATCACTCTTAAATGTACTAATCACCAGAACCAACACAAGAAAACTGGATACTCAAGTATATCAGAAGTCAGTCCACACAGATCCAACTTCTCAATTACAGTAGCAACAGCCTAAGAGTTAACATAATCAGCTGCGTACAAACTTTATTCGAGAGGGTGAGAACACACCGCAACACACTTGCAGTGCAGAAAAATGAAGAAAAATATCTGAAGGCTAGTTTTCAAAAGAACGGCTACCAAATCAACTTCGTCAAAAAATATCAACCAACAAACGGATCATCCTACCATATATAAAAAAACGTCAGAAATTACAATCAGATTATTGAAGACGTTTGGAATAGGTGTAGCACACAAACCAGCGAAATCATTTCAACCAATCGTATGCAAACCGAAGAACGGAATGACTGAAGAAAAACTGAGTATCATCTACAAAATAAATTGTTCCAACTGCGGAAAACACTACATCGGATAAAGTGGACGCCCCCTTTATCTCCATCCTCATGAACATCAATTAGCAGTCAAACGCTATGACCTATCCTCACTTATACAATGCATGTTGACATACATCCGACTCAGAAAATATTGAGATCTTGGATGGAGGGAATCCTTAAAACACGAGAGAATTTTTTGAAGTTTGGCATTCAGGTCAATCGGCAATCAACAAACATTGAAATCGATCTAATCTATCAACCGATCAGAAAAAACACAGACGAATATTGGGCCAAGAATCAAATCAATGGGAGATACAATCAAAATAAAGAAGTGGACAATGATAGGTTAACAACAGTCAATCAACATCGAGGTCGACAGAACAAGCTATGAGTCATATGTGGAGAAATTCGAACAGTTTGTTAATTTTAACACCTACACAGAAACTATTAAAACTCCAAACCAAATAAGTACTTTGGGATTTCTGTTACTGTAGTAGTTCCACTTTCTAATTAATTATAAGAGTTAGAGAGTTGGATTTTTGTAGGAACCTTGAGAGAAGGTCAGTGTCATAAACATTTGGTTTTTAAAAAATATAAAAGATAAGCGGAGAAACACGTTGAAATATGCAGTCGAAATTTATATTTCATCAAAACGGAAACAGAAAAATGGACCAAATCTAATTAAACTAAACGAGAAAGAATAGTCTAAGGGTACAGAATGTAATCCAAATAAATAAACAAATGAAAAATTACCTGATTTAAATTGGTTGATTGTTGTATATTGGCTGTGACTGGAAGTAAATGCAACAAATAGATAATGGGATCCATGCCTAACTGATTAACCGGAGTCCATTCTAATTGACAACGATCAGAATTTAATTCAAGAATTTTCAATCCTAAAATTCATAAGCATACAAATGAGTGTAAACGACAAGGTTTCAGTGACTGATGATTAATTGTATCAAAAAGCAAAATGATTTTTAAAAAATCATAGTCTTTTACAAGACGTTTTATTCTCTAATCTTGATAGTTTAATCATAAAGCGTTCACTGTAAGACGATGGTTAAAGATAGTCCGTAGGAAATCCCGCTTGACCTAGGTTTCATACTACTTGGTACTCGTCAACAAGAAGTACCTGTAAATCATGATTCTCCCTAGCGGATTTGATCTTGTGTCACCCAGCTGCAGTCAGAGACAGTACTATTGATCCATCCACCCACCACCTTATATATTAACACAGTGTAGTCACTTGGACTAGTGGCCACATTGAAACTTGATCGATAGGAGTCGATCAGCACTAAGAAGGACAATATCATCAAGATATCCCTTAAAAGGGAGCTAAGTAATTAAACCATCCATCTCAGATGATAGAGCACTTTCAAAATCTTTCTCTTGAACTATAAATTTTCATTAATCTTCCTAAATATCAAGTCGAATAGCGCAACATAAAAAAGAGATTGGCCAAGGTAACAATAATGTAGCTCATTTGCTAAATATAGGTTTATGCACTTGGGGCTCTGAGTTATATAGTTTTCATGAGGTCTTGTTAAACTTGGTGAATTAATTGAAGTGGTTTTATGACCTACAAAAAAACCGCTGGTTAAATATTGAGTACTTTAAGCATTCAGTAGTCGCTTCATTTAAAAACAATCGAAATCTTACAGTTTATCCTTAAGCTGAACACGAATAATTAGTGTGTTCATAACATTTCATTAACTGATTGACCTCAGGCTTAAATTTCTATATATTACTTTTTTCAAAGTTATTCGATAAGTTTTTTGAGTAGACGGATTGGGACTAACAGTCCGAGTCATGACTCCTTAGCTGGACATACTTGGATCCCAGTGTTGATAACCCTACATGGGTACTCGAATCCAGAGACGATCGCTTCAAACATCAAGTAGCTACCCACTAAGTTGGTCAATACAGATAGCAACTAACTTCCCCAATGGATATGATGTTTATATTATTTGTACTAAGGGTTTGAATTATCGCGTTGTTGATATTCAGGACTCAGATTTGAAGGTCTTTGTTGGGATATTTGAATCTTCAACAGACTGATTTGTTTCAATTACTTTGTCATAAGTTAATTCAAACCTCATAATAATAACAATAGTAATATGTTGTTCGACAGTTATAAAACAAAAAAAGTAGATACAACTATTAGTGTGGTATATGCTACTAACGTTGATAGATATAAGTAGTAAGCAGCACCAATCGGAAATGGAATGTTTGCAAGAGGAAGATTGAAATGAAGAGGAGAGGGACGCTTAAAGAAACCAAAACAATAACAAGAATGAAGAAACGAACGATAAATTTTGTGAGAGACAACTGATGAACGATGTGCAAATGATGTAGTTAATGTATGGTTTTCATGTTTTATGAAGACACTGTAATTTTGCACCGAACAATAAATTGAGCTGAGTTTGGAATGACGTGGAGATAAACAAATGTGAAACGATTAGACAGTTGAAGGAAGCAATTCTTGAAAACTTGTAGGTGTGCTTTAAACAATGGACAAGTGTATTGCCATGAATGAAGGGTATAAGACTGAGGTAACATAAAATTTTTAAGATATACCTTTTATGTCATCAGTTTGTGTATTTATTGGATAAACTTGGTATATGCCATCTTTGAATAGTTTCAAGATAATAGATTTTTCAAAATAAATGGATTGTGGAGTAATACATCAGTATTACATGACAATTTAAAGAAGAAGAAGAAGTGCAAAAGTGTTTCATTTTGCGTTTTAGGTGTGATAAACCTTAAAAAGGTCGATAACGCTTGACAACATAAACCATTGATGTAAGTATATAGTGTACGGTAAATAATAATAGACCAATTAAATAGTGATTAACACGTTGATATGGTCAAGTGGTTTGAATGAGATAGTAGAAAACGGATTTGTACTAATAATACACGAATCGACGACAAATATGATTGCTACCCACCTCCTGAGACGTTTATATTCAATTCGAATGCGGAATACTAGAAGCAAGAGCCTAGTTTATGACTGTGAACAGTTAATATTCTAGAGAAATACTATACTTTAAATACACTCTTAAACAAACTTAATATACAGAAAAAAACAACAATTCAATAGTTTGTAATGAATGTTAGATCCAGAAACAGAATATATTGTCTGTGGGATTATTCGAGGATGTAGGATTATTAATCCGACTATAGAGTAGGGAAAACTTTTAACTCGACTAATTTCTAAATCATTCGCTTCCTATCATCATATCTTAAACTAGTTAGCACTACTAGTTAACACTTCTAGGTAATGTAAACATAGAATTATCATTTCTTTTTTTGAATGTAAATTATGTACTCCATCATCATTTGAGGTGAATTATATATCAATCAAACTAGTGAGTTTTATTTGTGAGAATTAACACTTGATGTAGTAGGCTACTGAGTCTTGATACCTACATAATAATGTTAACTGTCTTTATTTATATGTGGGCTCCTTGAGCGGATACATTCTGATACTATTTTTAAATTAGAAATTGGACGTATTGTATGTAGAGGCTAACGGTGAATTCTGGGACATGTGTTCCATTTTATATGAGATTGGAGAGATGGATATAATTATGCTGGGGTGTTAGCCACTATCAAAAAGCATAGTACCATTATAATTACAAACAATATAAAAGCATCAACTCAAAAAACTTATATCCCAATCAAAGACTGATCAAACATAGTTTTTAATATTAAAAACAAAAAATCTTAAACCATTACTTATCGACAACAGTTTGTGTGGTATTTCCTTCTGATTATCACGTCTATGATTCAAATCTGGTAGTTGGTTAAGCTTCCTCTGCAAATTTAACCGATATGAGCATACAATATTATTATTGTATTTCTTTTTTCTCTATTACCACATAAAAATACGCACCTAATATTCTGTTCAACCTTACCTCGTACAGCTGGTGGTGATGCTTTCTGAGTACGAATTGTTTGAACGTCACTATACAATCCACAACCTGTTGTATTCATAGCACAAACACGAAAATGATAAATTGTAAATTCAGATAAACGATTCACTTTATGCATATTTGATTGTCCTTCATATATTGTTGTCCAACTGTTAAATGAAATGAAACAAAAAAGACAACATTTAAATTTTTACTGATTAATAACTTATGGTAAAAGCACAGTAGTGTAGCTACTTAGAATACGTAGATGACACAGTTCTGTTTGGTGATGTTGACAAAATAAAGTCTTCTGATCGCCTTACGCAACAATGCTTGTATATTAGGGACGTGTTTCTCTCCCTCTAAATGCAAAATGTTGCTGTAGGGATGGCCTACGTCAACACTTGAATTATTAAAAGGGAGTGAGGTAGGTGAGCGTGTCAATAACGCCATTTTTCTTAGAATTCTCATCAGCTCTGGTGGATTTGTATCTGAGGTGATTTAGGTACGAAATCAGAGAGCCCAGTTGGCTTTGCCAACTCACTTCACTTGTGACGTGGGTGAGATATCTGGTTTCCAACTAAAGGACGAGTTTATTGGGCAGCGATTCGCTCCGTTCTACTTTATACGTAAGAAACTTGGCTTTTAAGAATACAGGATATTTATAGGCTACTAGTGTTCGATCGTAGATGTCTTCGAGGGATTGCCCGTATATTTGGGACCATCGGGTTAGTAATTCTGAGGCTAGACGCAGAGTACTAGGTAGGTATGGAAAAACAATTGACGAAGTAGTGAATCTTTAGCAACTGAGATGGTTAGTACATTTAGAAAGCATACTCGTTCACCACCTACCTCGACACGCGACGATGGTTGGTGTAGGAGTAATTTGGAAGAAAGGTAGGGGGAGGCCAAAGAACTGGCTCGGACTAAGCTACGTATGTAGGTGCAGACCACCTAGTTGGGGTCAGGGTGATTATCTTAACCAATCGTTAGACTTTGGTTGACATGACCCAAATCGTCTGCAATGGAGCAGGTGCATTCACTGTTTGTCCTTTATTAGATCCTCACTTTCCGAATTCCTCAAAACTATTTTATTATTTCACTGATTCATATTTTCGTGTCTTCGGCGCCTAATCTTTACTGTTATTACTCAATGAGGCGTATTTGTAATCTTTAGAAAAATGTTGCACCACATGACATTTAAATCCATATCACCTAGTATCACAGTCATTGACACTATCATTGAGGCGTTCCTGTTGAAATCGGTTATTGTCAGAAAGGGGTTTTGAAGACTGTTCAATTTCATTGAAATCATGGACTGATTTAAGTTACATAACCTTTAAAAACCTGAAAGCGCTGGACTGCCGTTTCATCGTAACATGGGACCTCTCATCGGTGCTCATCAGCGACCCCGCACGCGGGAATCTAACTCAAGACCTTCGGTATCGTACGCGAACACTTGACCTCTGCACCCCCGAGCTTCCAGGTTTTCAATGGTGATCGAGTCATGATTTCAACTAAATCAATTGTCTTATATAAAACAAAGATATTAACAATGAGTGACCTTTGATTAGTTATTAACGTCATATTTGTCTGGCGTAAACGACTAGCTTATTAACGAAAAGTATTTGAAAAGAGAACAATTAACCGTTGTGTAGGTACTTCATCATTACATTTTGAAATTTTTTATTTAAATGCGATGTGAAAGAGCCACTTAGAACAAAAATAATGCATTGTGATTAATTGATTTAGTCGAATAAAACAAAAAAACAAACAAACAAACAAACAGGAGAATACAATCCTGCGTATCTTTCAATGATGATATGAATTAACCTGTATTTTTTATGACAGATTGGTGAAAGGAAGACATAACGAACAAAAACGAAATCTTAAACCTGATGAGATTAGTCAGCTTAATTTAGCTGAATTAATCAACTAGTTGAAGTTAACAAACTCATGTTTAACCAAATTGCTATCAAAATGTTTGTGTTTTTGGTGTGTATTGATGACTTTCTAAGTGATGTTCAGAAAGTATGATATAAATATATATAAATGTATAAGTATGTATATATAAATGTTAGTGAATAACTTTTCAGAAATAACATGGTTACCAAAGTTGCCAACTGCTGGCAATCATCATTATCATTACCATCATCATAATCAGTAACCTAAATGATCACAATTGTAATTGATGTATAAAAGAAAAGAAAAGAAAGATAACAAGACAGTAGAAATAAAGTATAAACAGTTGGGGGGGGGGAGACAAAGTAAAGCTATATTTATTCTCCACTAAAAGGGAAAAAAACGATTAGTAAGCATCATCAAAATGTTTATGCAAGTTTCTAGGTCAAAAAGAAAAGGTATCCGACAGACAGATAGATAGATGTGAATCGTTTGAACGAGTCCATTAAGTTGAATGTGGTGTGTATAATAGCAAGAAACAAATTTCATTGTACAATTGTTATGAAGAAGGACAATCGTTTATCAAATTGATACAGAACAGAAGAGGTAGTCATATGAATTCGACCAAAAGAAAAGAGTAATTGCATAACTCAGTAAATTAGTTTCATTTACTCAAAATCTGACTACGGATCGGTACATTTTTGATCTATTCTTGGTATCAAATTAATACTCATCCATCATCTTAGCTCTCTTCCTTGCAACGCGACATATTGGGATACCAGGTTTTGTTCATTTATACGTATACACACACACACTAATTCATAAATATTTACCACAAGATATAGGACAAAAAGTTGAAGCAAGCAAATGAAAACATTAGAAGAGTAAAACGAGAGACGGAAGAAGTTATGAGGGACAGTAAATAAAGGAATAATGTTTATGAAAAATTTCAATTATTTCATTACTAATAAGATAGAAACTCTACCTGTAGCTCTTCTAGTGTTACTGACAGTCACAAACTCGAATAAATGAAGAAGGTTGGTATAAAAATGGTAACCAAATTAAAAATTTAAACTATTTAAACTCTGCCCCCTGTGTTGAAAGATCTTCATATGGAACAATTCTGACGCCTCATGGTGAAAACCATGAAGAGGAAAATGATCCACACACTCAGGGAGTTACTCGGATGCTGTCCAAACAAGCACGGAAAGCCCATATAGGATGGGAATATCATGGATCCAGGATCATCAAAAAAAGAACGGAATCACGATGAATGTTACCCAATGTTATGCATCCACCAATGATAGCAATGACGACGACAAAGATCAGTTCTACGACAGGCTGCAATCGATCATAGTTAAGTCCCCAAGAAAGCACCTCACCATCCTGATGGAAGATTTAAATGTCAAAGTCGGAATGGACAACAACGGTTATGAAGATATAATGGAATGACAAGGACTGGGAGAGAGAAACGAAAATGGGGAGAGATTTGCAAACCTATGTGCATTCAACAAATTGCTCATAGGCGGCACAATATTTCAACACAAACGTATACACAAAGCTACATGAGTCTCACCGGATCACACCACGGAGAACCAGATAGATCATATTTGTATCGCTAAAAAGTTCAAAAGGTCAATTAAAGAAGTGAGAACACGAAGAGGAGCTGACATAGCTTCAGATCACCACCAATTGGTGGTTGCCAAAGTGAAACTGAATCTGAAGCAGCAGTGCACGACTGGAGAAACAGCATTACAAAGGTTCAATACCTACTTCCTTCGACATACTGACAAACAAAACGAATTCAACATAGCTCTCAACAACAGGTTTCAAGCCTTACAAAAACTACTGAAGGATGAAGAAACTACTATGTAGGACAATTAGAACGAGATCAAAGAAGCACTAATTTCAACGTGTCAGGAGGTGCTGGGCCTCAAGAAGCATCATCATAAGGAATGGATCTCTATGGAAACCTTGGTCAAGATTCAAGAAAGGAAGAAAAAAAAGACAGCAATTAACAACATCCAAACAAGAATAGAGAATATCAAGGCAAACACTGAATACACAGAAGCAAACAAACAAGTGAAAAAGTGCATTAGAGTTAACAGGCCGCAATTCATGAAAGACCCAGCAATGACATCCCAAAAAGCTGTAAGATAGGGAAATATGAGGAAACTATATGGCACAACGAAGAACTAGCAGGGAAAAACAATAAACCAGAACGACCAGTTAAGGACAAAGAAGGCAAGCCAATCACCGAGATTCGATAACAGTGGAACAGGTGGGAAGAACACTTTGAAGAACTGTTAAATAGGCCAGCTCCATTGAATCCATTGGATATCGAAGCAACACCTACAGACCTTCCTATAGATGTCACTCCACTAACGATAAAAGAAATCAGGATGGCTATCAGACAAATCAAGAGTGGGAAAGCAGTAGAATCTGATGACATATCAGCCGAAACACAGAAGCACTATCACATCTGATGGGAAGCTCGAAATACAATGGACAGGTTGGATACAAGCAGACGTTTTGGACTTCGCAGATGACCTGACCTTTCTATCTCGTATACACGTGCAAATGAAAATGAAGACAACTAGTGTAGCAGCAGCCTATGCATCAGTAGGTCTCACAACATACACAAGGTACAAAGCAAGCTCCTGAAATACAACACGGAAAGCATCAGCCCAATTACACTTGATGGAGAAACTCTGAAAGTGGTAGAAACTATCACGTACCTGGTCAACAGCATCATTGTTGAAGAAGAAGGATGCGATGAAGATGTGAAGATACGAATTGGCATTCCTACAATTGCAGAACATATATAACTCAAAACAACTGTCAACCAATATCAAAGTCACAATCTTCAATACCAACGTCAAGACAATTCTACTTTACGGAGCTGAAACTTGGAGAAATATTATAACACTCAGTTGGTAGACACAATCAGTTATTTAAAACAAATCTAAAACAGGAAAATTTATGTGAATAAAAGTACATTTAGAAAAATTATAGCAGCATAATCTAAGATAATTCATGTATCAGAGAAGAAAAGATTAATTACTTGTTAAACAGATCAATTTTAAATCAATAAACTATTTCTTAAAAACATATTTTCTATGACATACTCTAGATCAGATTCTCTGCTCATTTGTAATGTAAATATTAATTGGCTTTCATGCGGTTTCAAGTCTAATTTCTGTGTTTTCATCCTTTCTCGCTGTTGTTGTTGGTGGCGGTGGTGATGGAGTGGATTCGATAAACGAGAAGAAGAGTTTGACTTGATATTAGTGCCATTTTCATTATTTACTTCCTTTGCCTCGTCACTATGAATCTTTTCTTCTCTCTCATCGTTGATGCAATTATCACTCGAAGTATCGTCACCAATGGTGTCAGCGTCACCATCAACATTATCCATATCATCGGTATCAGAATTGAGCATCTCATTGATTAACATATTCCATTCTAATCGAACACTATTTGATGTTAAATTTGTATAATGACTAAAAACTGGAGCTTTAGGCAATGGAGCAAGTGTAGTAAATTCAATATTGGCTGAATATTCACTTGGACCAAATTTATTCACAGCTTGGATGCGTAATCTGTACATATAAAAACAAAACAATGAATTTTCGATAAAAAGAACTGAGTATGGCTCTAATGAAGTAGGAATATAATAATATTAATTAGTATAGTGAGTTTATGGAGATTGTCAAATTTTATAGTTTACATCATAGACTGATTATAGTTGGAGAACCGTTGAAAACCAGGAAGCACTGAAAAACAGTTTCATCCCAGCATGGGTTTTCTCAGCGAAAGAAATTCATGACCCCATCAGGAATTGAACTGTATAGTATCGTCAAAAATGTAATTTGATATCAACCATAAATTGAGTATTTCAGTGGAATTTCAATAATGCACAAATTTTTTCCTGAGCAACATTGAGGTATTCTTTTTCTATGTATAGGGCGAAGTGATAAGCTTCGATTGGTCAGTAATAACATGAAGTGTTATTGTTTAGTGAACTAAATAGTCGACTTTTAGCAACTGGTGTTGAAAGTTCGAACGTCACTTGTGTCTACTATTATTTTGGTAATCAAGTAGCAGCAAATAGGTTGTCAAATAGATATGCGAACTGGTGAACAGATCGAATAGGAACATTAAAGAAATCTGGTGAGACTTAGGGGAAAATCGTGGGAAATTTATTAACTGTGTAAGTTTTTTTCTGGAGATAACGTAACGAAGGAAATACTCTTTCTTAACGGGGTTAACCGTTTAGTGAATACCACCAAAACTCCGTGTATGACATAAATTTGTCAATACCATCGACATCCTGTGTTAACGAAAACGTAAAATATGTGTGGCCTCATGTACTAACTGGAATACAAGGCGACCTGTTCCTGCCCTCTAGATATTTTAATATGTTATCTGGTTTTATGTTTGTTTTGACACATCAGTATGTCTATTAATCGCATAACCTATTCAGGTGTGTTTATGAAAAAATTATGACTTTTCACTGTCCAAGCTATAAAAATGCACAATCAGTAACATTAAGGTGGGTGGAAATACGCATCGAAAAGAATGTACATGATTCAGATGTCGATTCCTGAACTACCAACATCCAACTGGCGACCACTCAATATTTATCGTCAGCATTGATCAAGGAATGAGAAACGGAAACTTGTTGAAATACTTTGGGCTGAGAATTCTATATTATACCCAAAATATAATATTCAATAAGGCTAATAATAGTAATATTTCTCGATAGTCGAGTCATTGTCCGAATAATTGCTAATGAACTGAATTTGAGATTAAATAGAGACAATAAGAAGTTAAACGATGAGGCAGCTAAATTATGTGACTTTTGACGACTTGCAGGGTTAACTGTGAAGATAATAAATGCTGCTTAAGGGATAGCGAATTATTGATCGGACCAAAGACGCGCAAACACGTAGAACGACCTAGGGTTCTGATTGGTCTCGCTTCCCTGTCTAGCCCAGTCAATTGAGTCCAGAACGCAAGTCACAGCCTCGGATATATGAATCATTATATTTCAAACATGCTTTGTTTATATACCATTCAAGCAGTCCACAACGTACCATAAAAAAGATAACATGTACATAATGCCAACAGGAAACGTCAAATAAAGACCAATAAGATGATACCATTTCATGTCCAAGGATAGCATTAGGCTTAACAGGATAATTTTTGGGATATTTTCCTGAATATCCCAACAAGGGTTACTTTAAACAATGAACGAAAAGACTACTTAAGTGTACGGCCACGAGTTAATATTGGGTATTTCATGAATGCCATCTCAGAGGCATGTTCATGCAGACCAAAATGAAGAGGGAGCCCACCTTATCCGATATAATACCTTTTACAAGTAGAACAGTTTATTTTGTAGATGATGTTTGACTTTTCTTCAGTTGTCATTTCATCGTTTGGTTTGTATAAAAATGATCGAAGTGATTTTATTGATTTATGAGCTATATCTATTTCAAAAAGAGCTCAATAATCTCATTGTAATTTATGATATGTCTTTTAAATATAGTAGGATAATACGTTTATTGTTATCCACATTTGAATTCTTTATTGTTTATAAACTAGGAGGAAACAGCTATTCAGTGCTTACTGATCGTTGATAGTTGTCTAGCTAAGAACAGTAAGTGATAGAAACTATGCAAATCCGGAATTGAATAAAAAGAAATGTCGTGTTTACACATATTAATATGCTTGCTGAAAGAATTACTTAAATTGTTATTTTCTTGAACTATTGTTAATGAAAATTCTTTATAAATATGTGTATATGTGCACTTTATATTCTAATGAGTTAATAACTAAAAAATTGCTTCTTTGAAATAGGTGATTAGTTAAAAATGTATGATTGGAGCTAATTTTACAAAGTGCATTTCTTGTAGTACATTAGGAGTGCACCGAGAATTTCCAAGTGGATGCTTTTTTTTTCATGATACAATGGAATGAAGAAACGCATAGAAGAAACATTTGACGTATGAATCTGGAGGAAATATGAATTAATATCATACTTTTTTTAGAGTAAAGGAACTAGTCAGGATTTGAAACTTCTTTCACATACTACCTACTGATTGAAGGTCTTTGAATGGATAATTGGTGGAGTTTAATGTGGGTACTGCTGAGAAATACCAATACTAGGGTAAAACAATTATTTAGTCCTCTCTAATTCCCGTTAGTCGTTCATCTGTAGTCAGTTCGTGAAATAAACCATACAAAAATGAAAATAAACCTTATAAATCTCTAACAGTGATTGAAATTCTCAATATACTACTTGCAAGCGGATAAAATGGAATCAGTTTACGCGAGATACATATAAATATAGAATTTCGTTATCTCATACAATTTAACACATATCATGTGAGTCCATCGACAAATAAAAAAAACGACTGTATGCAATATAGATTGATAAACTTTTAAGTAAACAGATAATTGTAATACTAAGCCGAGTTAGATCGATATGACCTTGCATATCTAATATGACTCGCTTTTCCACAACATTCCTGTGAGAAAAAATATAAGAATAAGAGCTTATATTTACATCGTGATCACTACGATACTTTAGACAATGATTGAATGTTCCGTAACGATAATTTTAAGCAGAATTAAATAATGCGAAACGAACATAATACTACCAATCGGGTAAGAAGTTTAGAGAATATTCAGGAGTTTTCCGGAAAACACAAATACATGAATGAATCCCTATCAGATTCTACACTGATAATTAACAATCCAAAAAAGATAACCGAATTTAAGACAAATACACCGTTTAAAATCATAGCATACGAGGTCAGAATTATTTATTAAATAAAATAAAACAGTTCGTCTTGAAATGTGTAGTACACAATGCCAAATGGAGTAAATTGAAACTATAAGATTGATAATAAAAATAAATATAGATAACATAGTTTGACATAAATAACGACCATCAATTGCAATACTAATTAAGTGCTCACAAGTACTTAACTTAAAGGAGCAATTCCCAGAATCCTGAAGATGAGTGGTAAAAATGGAGTTCAACCTTGTCGGATATAAAGCAATACCACACCAATGACATTGGAAGATCATTTCTGAATATTACGAATTGATTAAGTTTGAAAACCATAGGGTCAGAAGTTAAGTGCTCGCCTCGAGATCTTAAAATTCTGGGCTCGACTCATGGTAGGATCGAAGATTTGCACTATTGAGAAGTCCTATACTAGGACAATACAGTTATCTAGTGTCCTTTAGTTTAAAATGATCATCTAGCTAAGATCAGTTCGTGATGTACATTATAAAATGTTTTAATTACAAATCAGATCAAATGTTTAGTCAAAGAATAAGTTATTATTATTTATTTATTTTAACACATAGATATTGGTACAAGGAGGCATCAGATACATACGCGCCACACAGATCTCATTTGGGTTGTATGAGGGCTGTGATACTGCCCGGGTGCCCAAACCGAAGCAGGTGGTGTTCTTGGGGAGCCACACCCTGAGCCTTCGACCTGAAGGTCTGATCCACAAGGCAGTGGAGCATCGTAAGGAGATGCAGTCCCATGGAAGCCGGTGACCAACGACTGGTTCATACGCCATTTTCTCCTTCAGGATACTGGAGTCCATGTGCACCATCGGTTTGGAATCAGGGTTTTCCAACTCACCTAGGTGAACTCTCCATGTCCACCAACCCGGTTAAAGCGCTGGTCATTCGCTTTTCTTCCTCTCAATTTCGTAAACAACAGTAATGCCACGAGAAGGCAGTGAGTAGGACTTTCCTGGCAGAGGCTATATACGCGTGGACATGTGAGAGCATTTGGAGAGGGAGAGCGGACTCTCCACACTTTCGGCCGTACCAGGGCATTTGAGGGCAAAGACTAAGTTATGTATGAAGTGACTTGTATTTAGCAAAATAGAGTAGAGTGGGTGGTAATGAAATTCTCCACGTGTTAATAATAATATGAATAATAATGTTTGAACAAAATAAACTTCAGTTATAAAAATAAAAAGAAGAAAGGTTATATATACATTGTTCAAATTAGATCATCCTATAATTATCAGGATGACCTCATTTTATTACCAAATAACTGCAAACCAAACGTCATAAGTTATTTTCATGACAAAAGATGAAGTTATAGATTAAAATTAATCAATTCACTTAACCAGGTAATTGAGCTGATCACCCATAGAAAGGAGTGATAATATGTACATTATTCGGTTAGCAGTTATTTTTTCTCACAGGACTGTTGATACAATTTTAGATGTTTATCAAGAGATGCATGCAGGAACAAAAGGTGAGATATCTTTTGGAAATATGGGAGGGGAACTTACTTACTTACGCCTGTCACTCCTCGTGAAGGAGCATAGGCCGCTCACCAGCATTCGCCATCCAACCCTGTCCTGGGCAATCCTTTCCAGCTCCGTCCAGTTGTAATTCATCCTTTCCATATCTGCTTCTATTATCCGACGCAATGTGTTCTTTGGCTTTCCTCTTTTTCGCTTCCCTTCAGAATTCCAAGTTAGGGCTTGTCTCGTGATGCAGTTTGACGATTTGCGTAATGTATGTCCTATCCATTTCCATCGTCTTTTCCTAATTTCTTCTTCAGCTAAAAGCTGGTTTGTTCTCTCCCACAAAGGGCTATTGCTGATGGTATCCGGTCAATGGATGTTGAGTATCTTGCGTAGACAGTCATTTATAAATACTTGTACTTTCCTGATTGTGGTTGTTGTAGTTCTCCAAGTTTCAGCTCCATACAGTAGAACTGCCTTGACGTTCGTATTGAAGATTCTGGCTTTGATATTGGTTGAAAGTTGTTTCGAGTTCCATATGTTCTTCAACTGTAGGAATGCTGTCCTTGCTTTGCCAATCCTCGCCTTTACGTCTGCATCTGAACCTCCTTGTTCATCGATTATGCTTTCCAGGTATGTGAAGGATTCTACATCTTCCAGAGTTTCGCCATCACCAGTGATTGGATTGCTGTTTTCCGCTTTGAATTTGAGGACCTTGGTTTTCCCTTTGTGTATGCTGAGGCCTACTGATGCAGAGACTGCTGCTACGCTGGCTGTCTTTATCTGCATTTTTTCATGTGTATGCGATAGGAGGGCTAGGGCGTCTGCAAAGTCCAAATCGTCTAATTGATTCTGAGCTGTCCATTGTATTCCGTGTTTTCCCTCAGATGTCGAGGTCTTCATAATCCAGTCGACCACCAGAAGAAAGAGGAAGAGAGAGAGTAAGCAGCGCTTTCTGACTCCGGTTCTTACTTAGAATGCATCTGTCAGCTGTCCTCTATGCACTACTTTGCACTGTAGTCCGTCGTATGAGTTTCGGATAATATTGACAATCTTCTCGGGAACTCCGTAGTGTCGAAGAAGTTTCCATAACGTCCTCCTATCTACACTGTCAAATTCCTTTTCATAATCAATGAAGTTGATGTATAGTGATGAGTTCCACTCAACTGATTGTTCGACGATGATCCGTAGTGTTGCAATTTGGTCTGTGCACGACCGATCCTTCCGGAATCCAGCTTGTTGATCTCGAAGTTGGGCGTCTACTGCAACCTTCATCCGGTTCAGCAACACTCTGTTGAAGACTTTCCCTGGTATTGACAGTAGTGTGATGCCTCCGTAGTTTTCACATTTGCTCAGATCCGCTTTCTTTAGAATCTTGATGAGGTGTCCTTCTTTCCAGTATGGGAGGGAAAAGTGATTGTTATATGGGACTGATTTTAAAGTCACTCATGAACTGTGATTTTACTGAAAAGTCAGTAAGAGGTGGGTAGGTACGGTACTGACATGAGTCGATTTTACGTTAATAATTATTGAATCCATTTTCCCTTTGAAACTCATTAATTATAGGATGTGGCTAAATAAGAAAACAACATAAAATGTTGTTTATCAAAGATTTTAATTCACATTGTTGCTACAAGTTTGAATACTTTATCGGGTAATTAATTATATCGCTAAACCTACCATTCTACATTATTTAGTCGTTTTTTTACATTAATTACAAAAGTTACACCAGAAACAGAGTTATATTTATGCTAAATAAAACATATTCGTAGTTAACGCAGATCGAGTGTTATAATCTGATATTTGTTCGGACCAGTGAAATATAAAGTGCTGGAAAAAGGAGGGATCGTATTTGCGTCAATTTGTGTTGTAAATGTAAAATTCGTTTATAAAATCTTATTATTGAGGGAGGGGGGGGGAACTGTAGAGATTATTGAAGTCTGTAAGTTATAACACGGAGTGAATTTAATCAGACAAATATTGAAAACCATGAAACACTGAACTACTGTATTATTCTGATACAGGACCTTACAGTAATGAGGATTCTCACCACCCTATTGAAGGTCCACCAATGGTATTAGAAGATGGTTGCTTCATATGATGAATTAATTGAAGTAGAAACTTAAAACACTTTAATGTCAACTCAATAGCATATGGGTTTAAGCGTCAGTCGCTAGACCTTAAGGTTGTGCGTCCGATGCAAGGTGGGATCGTGAATGAGCACTACTGAGGAGTCGCATACGCAAACTAAGCAGCACTCCAATGTTTCCTGCTTTTCAGCAATTGTGTAGCTGCAATCAGTCTGTGCTGTACATGGTAAAAAACATACCAGTCTATTTTATCCTGTCAATCAGTTGTTTCTTTTTCGGACCTGAATGAATTTTTCAGGAAATCAGCCAACTGATTTACTTCACATGCGATCGTCGATTCCAAAAAACCAATACGAGCCATGTGTCTTGCTGGACATCTTTAAATTAATTTTGATTTCATTATAATAATTCTTTAATAAAAAGTGGAAATTGAATATTGATTTGTATAAGACATAACTAAAAAATAACTCAGTTTATTTTACGAACTGGATTTGTTTATCATTGAGGTGAGATAATATCAGATTACATATGGTGAGATTTTCTAAAGAAAAAAAATTGATGCAAAATCGAAACCAGATTAATTCGCTTGCAGAGGAATAAAGTACCAACATTTATTATATATCGTGTTCAAGTATGGTCAAGTAGTCTACTATTTAAAGTATTTTCATGACCTCTTAACATACAGAAGGTTAATTTGTTAATTCAGAGCCGGTGAAATGACTGGATTTACCTTAAGAGGTTGTTTAGTTTCTCCTTGTAGATACCGACGCTTTGAAAGAAGTGATTACCGATATTTCTTTGTAAAGTATTTCTTTTCATTGTTCTTAAGGACGGTAATTCTTTACAGTAATTTAATATTTAATCGCAGATCAGGCAATAAATGGATATTATTGATATCATAAACCGATCTACGTTAGACCGCTACTGAAGATCTGAAAGGACTGTACGCCCGTTTCGTCTTAGTTCGGTTCATGACTTTAATCTCCACAAAGCTATGCTAATACTAAATGGATGAATGCGTTATTGTATTCAAAGGATTTCAGAATACTTAAATCAGTATTAGATTATGGATTTGTGGAGATTATCCTAGTGTTAAGTGATTGGAGGTAGTCAGGATAAAAATCAGCAACTAGCCTTCAAGCTGGTTGGCATTTATCAGAAAGAAATCCTCGTAATCTTGAAAAGATTGGTTCTCCCAGTGAGATACGAGCTTGCATCACTCAGCTTCACAATCGGAGGCGTTATTACTGAGCTACTTGAGTTGAGACTGATATCCTATAAGATTGAAATATTTAGATTGATTGGGTTCGTGAAAATTTTTTTTTCATAACTAATGTAATCGATTTCATGCTGATTTCTACGATAAAATATGACTAATTCTGTAGTGTTACGATTTCAGTGATATTCATTAATCTAAGCAGTGCATTATTACTAATTTAAAAACCATAGTAAATTTGGAGTTTTTTTCGAAGTAATAATGTTTTTTTTATTAATTTAATTACCACCTTTACTTTTAACTCGATATAATGAAAACAAACAGCTGTTTTTAATACTCCAGAATAAAAAATCTAAACTATAGCATTAACTGACTAGTTTCAATTAAGACGCCAAACTCATAATCATCATGCTATTATTTTAGGGTTAGCAAAAAAAAGAGTATCCAAGTGTAAAAGGAAGTTAGACATTAACACCGTTGGATGCCGGCCGGCTCAGTGGTCTAGTTGGTTAAGCACCTGGCGCGAGACTGATAGGTCCTGAGTTCGAACCTCACTGGGGGCGGGATCGTGGATGCTCACTGCTGAGGAGTCCCGCGCTAGGATGAAACGGCCGTCCAGTGCTTCCGGGTTTTTCATGGTGGTCTAGCTTCAATTGACTCATGATTTCAACCAGTAATAGGAAATATTTACGAGAGACGAAATTTTTCAAATTTTAACTCAGATTGTAATATTTTAAATCAACATTAACTTAAGGAATGAATTCACTGGAAAATATGTTTAATGCTATTACTATTACAACTATTAATGATAATGATAATAGTAATCATTATTAGTATAGACTATTATAAAGCAAAGACGGGAGGACATATAATCAAAGTACACTAGTGCCGTAAAAAGAGTATTAAAAATTTATTGTCTACGGAACCATTAAAACAGGCATTACCAATTTGTTTCTAAGCTTTATATGAGCATGTATAAGATAATAATAATAATAATAATAATAATAATAATAATAATAATAATAATAATAATAATAATAATAATAATAATAATAATAATAATGTCTTATCATCATGATATCTTTATCAAACATTTTTATAAACCGAGAAATTTTGCAATTCAATAAAAATAGTAATAATAATTAAATGCACCGATAATTCACAAGTAATGGTATACATGCATCGAAATTGAAACACTGTAGAACAAATAGATGAGCGGATACATAGGCAATTTTCCATACGGATTGAATCAGTCAAAGTACCTAGAAGTAAACTAGAAATTACGTTTTTTCGGAAAATGTACACATATTTTATTATAAGTATCAACCTGATCATGCCTGTAAACTTGCATTCATTTTGTACTCATTTTTTGGATATTTTACAATTATCATCACTATTATATTAGTTGAAAGGTGTAATAAATTGATTACTGAGCAGTGAGTAGCCGATGTCTTGAATGTCATGTAATCAAGATCTAATAATCATTAACTTGAATGTAGCCACTAGTTCAAGCGACTCAACATCGTGTACACTATGTTGAGATATTAGGTATTTAGAAGTAGTGTCGCTAGGAAAGCTTGTAATTCATACTAATTAGCCCTCATCAGTACGGCCTATCTATGATTTTGAGGGAAATAGTGTTTCCTGTGCGATTCGAACACGCATTATCCAGCTTCATAGTAGGATCTACAAAATAAACCATGTTTCCTTCTTTGGATAAAACCACAACCGTCAAAAGAAAGATCAACTTACATGTAACTTGTCGAAGGTTTCAACTTATTTAAACAATATTGCATCATTTTATTTTGTAATTGTTGTTGAACTGAATTTGAAGTATCAGGTGTCACTGAAATGATTGGCAGTTTAGTACTGGAATTCATTGGATGTTTTTTATGATCCATAAGATATGGTGCAGGTATTTGAATGAATTTCACATTTGACGAATTTATACGAGATTTAGACGTAGATTTATGATGATTATTAATTCGGGTAACTTCTATCATAAAATCTGTTTATTTATTTATTTAAAAAAAAGAAATATGAAATATTACAGTATTGAAATGAATTTATACAGAAAATGGTATTCAGCAATAGTAAAAAGGAAAAGAACATTGACGAATGGATTCGAGATTTGGTTCGACACGATTTGCATGAATTCTACAGAGAGGTTATAACTGGAATAGTTTGTTCATGTGAAGGATGATAAAATCATTACTAGTGGTACTAAACAATCATCATGTAACATGAATCTGTCGATAAAATGAAACTAGAAATTTGTATACAAAGGATTTATAGGTTATTATGTTTGGATTGTGATTAACAATTCAAACCAAGATGTACATTTCGTCCCATTAAAGACTCGTTAGCTGTATGAATGCACATTGTAGTGTTGATGTTTATACTGGGACTCGGAGCCTATAATCTAGTGCTTCAAAAGTTAATGCCTTGTTTGATAAGCTACTTACCCTGTATATCCACCAACATAAGCACTTAGGAATAAACGTCATACATATCAAACATGATAGCAACTACAGTGACTCAGTATCCTGGTAGATAACGAATGAGGTTTTAAGTGATAGGTACTGAGTTCAGGTCTTTATGTAAACATAAACAAAGGAATGCAATACAATGCTAACAATAGTTAAGGATCAAATAAAAAACAGTTTCCAAAACATAATTCTACTTGATAATGCAATGAGAAGACGTAGTTTATCAGAATTATGTGATATATTTGCGCAATACATTTCGAACAATCTGATCACATATATACTTGTTAAGAACGTCTTCTCATTGCATTATCAAAATTTATCAAAGGGACTAATTGTTTTATAATTCTACTTATTAACTTATTCATGAGGTACGGATTAGTGTACTTGGTTTTTGCCCATATTCTAAGTGTGAGGCTTAGCGATGCTACCTGGTTGCCCAAACCGAAGTATTTAGAGCGAGATTCGAAACTGAGACTTATTAGTTGAAGATTATATACCGTAACCACTGACTCAATGCTTCAGAGTATTACGACCTGAAATTATTGAGCTTAACTTGGTCTTGTATTTGACGAGCAATCCAACATATTATGCTATAATCGTCTCTGTGATATGATCAAACCATCAAGGAATCAGATGATTCAATGGTAACTTTAAACGCCGAAAGCTTAAAACAAAGATGAAGTGGATTATTCGCCGTTTAAAAAACTCTGAATACATTTAAATAATTTGAAGACAGATGTAGACGGAACGTAAATATTAATCACATCAACCAATTATTAACTTCATTATTTAATTAGGCGTCTTGTGCTACAAGCACCTGTTAACATCAGTCCCTGATGAACGAAATAGGTTCGCTCACCTTAATGTTGATTTTTCGTCCAATTACTCAGTATTTTTAAAGAAATCTATCAAAACGAAATTTTATGATGAAAATTATACCCACTCAGATAATCCCCCTCAGTACTCTTTAAATTATCATTATTGATCAATACAATGTCAGGTTTTAATTGTAAAACTACTACGTGAACAGTTTGTTTCGCAATAATGACAACACTGAAAAGTAATAATTAATATAATGTATATATATAGGTGATTTTATTTCTCTGGACTAACCACAAAAATTTAGCAAACGGTTATGGGATCAAAGACGATTTTCTTGATTCAACGATTTAGCAAATAATAACGTAAAATAGTTACACGCTTCCATAGATAATATCAAAACAGAAATCCAGGCTTTCGAATTCTTTCAAGAGACCTTGATATTTTCTTGAGAAAGTCCTTAGAAGCCGAAGAGATACTGAAAATACTTCGGCCAATGAGTGTTCTTTACAAAATTCCAATATAATTCTAGGAGATGAGGAATTATCTCACCATCATTATGAATAGATGATCTTGTTATTAATTTTAGTACATTTTCCAGAAGCTTTTGGAATCCCAAGGTCACATATATACCTATAGAAACCCCTTATTATTCGTACATAATCTAACCCAGGAAGTACAGTCTCTTTCATACTTTCCACTTTCTGTTTTCGACTCAGAGTTCAAGACTGGAAGATTTTTTACACTAGGAAACCAACAAGAAAATGGTATCGAAGCGTTCATGTGCAAGATATCAGATTCACCTCTAATTTATCGCTTATTTTAAAATGAGAATGAAAACCTAGCAACTACTGAGATATGTTGAAAAAATTTCCACAATTTCAATGAAATAAATATATGCAAAAAAAACTCACTTGTAATAGGACTTCCATTACAGTGAGGTATAACCCAGAGAAGCAAAACTGATTCCGAATTTAATTCACGAATACATAAACCATGAGGCTGATCAGGTGGGGCAGATGGTGTCCAACACTTAGCTATAGGGCTCCATGGTCCGGCCCCAGCTGAATTGACAGCACAAAAGCGGAATGCAAACAAACTAGCTGGTTGCAAACCTGTCATTTCAAATGATAACTTTGAACCAGCATAAATCTATTTAAAGAAAAAAAGGTATGAAGAGATTATGAACATATCCCTGATGCTTGATAAGTAAGAACAGATAGTTCAATAATATCTAAATCCTTGAGAGTTTGAAGGATAAACAAAATATAGAAGATAAATCAGGTGATACATTTGAATTATTCATATAACCCTTATGATTTGAGCGGTTACAGATGAAGTGGATTGCAAGGTTCAGAGGTTAGATAACTGAGTAGGTGACAGTGTCGAACCACGACGCTTCATTGGCTTAGGCTTGAACAAATGGATGATTTTTAATCAACTCTTATGCGCAAAATGTCTATCTCAGAGACAACAGTATAAAGCTATACAATTGGTAAATAAACAGGTTACAATTTAGACAAAACAATGTTAAACCTGAGACATATATTGCATCTCTTCAAATTATCAAATTTTCTGAATCGTAAAAAAAAGCAAAATTAACAATAGAATAGAAAATATTAGGATGAACAAGGAAAAAATACACGAATTAATTGAAATCAAGCAGCAGCTAAACGTTTAAATAAAAGTACAGTATAAGGGCGAGTCAATCATAATAGAGAATGAGGCTTATAGGCTTTTGTACGAAATTCAAATGTCATGCTTAAAGAGAAAGAGCAATATCTTTCTACATTGTTCAAAACATTAAAAATGACTGCAAAAATTTATTTCTTCGAACTACAGAGCAAAAAAAATGATGGTGTTGAACGTGTCAAGTGCTGAAGTCTTACCTTGTAGACTACCCTTAAATGCTAACCAACAATCATGAAGTAAAACGTAACCTAGTGGGACTGTATACTATAGGCTCCTGTTGCACTGTTGCGCTAAATTCATCTATCAATTTGGTTGCAGAGTATTTTTGCACAACACCTGGTGTCAGTTTGTGACGAAAACCCTAACTATGTGCCCCCAGTCCTTACTTTAAATACCTGACCCAAACCCTGAAAAATTGTAGGGATCTTCAAAATCTTATTTCGATCATTTTACTAGATGGGGAAAACGGATAATCCGTATCATACCGTTTCTTAAGTTACAGACAGATCAATCCACATAAGAATTTAATAAGTATATCGCATATGCAAAAATCTTCCTACACTTTACAATATTATTATTCTCTTATCCATAAACTATCTATTTGAAAAGGCTGTTTTCTGGTTGACGAAAAACTGCCTAAAAATTCATCGCTGCTGTTTTAAGTTCTTTGTATTATATTCTCACAGGCATTTAAAACTATGAGTGAAAGGTGAATGGATATGTCTACACTATAGTTATATTGTATAATTGATATTCTGAACGATTACTCATTTAATTCGAAATGAACCTATTTCATAAGTTATTCATTTTGCTGGAGGATTGTGCAAAATTATGAACTGAATATTGAATTTGTTCTTTTAGAATTTTGATAATGTTACCCATATTGCTATTTTACTGTTCTTCCTAGTCTCCCACATTGTCCGAATATTCCATGCACCTACATCGGTTGTTGCTCTGGTTGTCAGAAAAGTCTTAGGCTACGTGATTTTCGAAGAATCTTGGCTTTACTCATGAGGTGTCAAAATTGTTCTACATGAAGATCGTTCAACACGGAGGGAAAAGTTTTAATAGTTTATTCTAGTTATAGTTTCGCCAGCAAAGTTGCTTTTTACGAGATGTAGTTGCCGACCCGACACCTAATCCCCTAGTTTATCCATGCTTTTGTCCGACAGTAACTTTAAAAGATCTACCGGCGGAGTTTCGTAAAGAGGGTTATCTTTAAACAACTATGTCAGGAGAAAAACATGCTCACATAATAGCACTAGATAATCGTAGTGCAATATGGTAAATAATTATAAATATTTTATAAACATTTAGATTTACATTACAGGCAGAAGTACGGTTTGTTAGTATGTATGCTAAATGTACGATTGATCTGTCAAAAGGCTAAACTCTATTTAGTAGTTTGAACATTTAAGCAGTGTGATTATACAATGTGGGTCAGTTTGGAGGGACTCAAATATTCGCGAAGAATAAATTATGGGTAACTTCTGGAATCTATTTATAGACTGTCATTATACATATTCTTATTGTATAAACTACGTATATCTGAAGTATATTATTCATACAGTGGAGCCTGAGATTGTGTTCTCGACTCAACAGACAAGGCTAGGCGATAAAGACTAATGGGGATTCAGAGTTGACGCAAGGCTGCTAGTGCTGTTTTGATATGTTATTGGTTTATCACAAGGACAAGGTCATATAAGTCGATATTCGGCGATTTTGTCACGTTGTGGTGTGCTACTTATATTGACGTGAGTAGTAAGTATATGATGTTAGTTGTGAACAGAAGGTCTGCCAGCAAAGAGACAAAAGGATCAAACAGTAAAGAATCGAAACAGAATGCAATTTGTATGAACATGCAAGAACAATGAAGTATGAGTCATTTTGAGACAATCGATGGACATTTTGCAAATTAAGCATTGACTTTATGATTGTTAGATTTTATTAACAAGTCCTGTAATTTTGCGTTAAAAACATTTGATTGTCTCCACTGGTGTTCGTGTTCACTACAACGTGACAATAAAAAGGCAAAAGTCATAGTAGCACGCACGTACATGCATTCTTGTTCGAAAGAGTAACAACATTTTTCGTAGTAATCAACGAAATTAAATTTATCTTACCAGTTGAAAAAATGAGTCATTTTCCATTTGCTCGAAAGAATCTAATCCTGATGAATTTTCCAAAGAATTTACTGTCGATTTCTTTTCAGATGGGATGTTTATTGTATATGATGAAATATCATAATAATCCATTGAATTCAGTGATTGATACTGACGACATTCAAGTCGATATTCATATATTTTGGCTCCATTAATACAAGTTACTGGATCCCAAGCAATCTGTATTACATATGGGGATTTAGGTAATAATCTTGGTGAACTAGTCGGTACACCTGGTAGACTTGGTGGAGTTGATAAGGAAATCCATTCAGTCCATAGTCCTTCACCTGCACGATTACGTGCACGTACACGGAAAGCATAATTTTGTCCAGGTGTCAGACCAAATAATCGACATTCCGTTTCACGTACAGAACATACAAATCGACCAAGTGTAATATTCGATGAATCATTAAATGATGATTGTATTTTTACTGAATTGTCATCATTATTATTATTAGTAGTATTATTCACTGAGTATGATTTCATATTTAGTGATGGATCTGTGTAAGATTTATGCAGAATAAATTGACGATGACGTGATTGACAACTATTCGGCATAAATCTATGGTTGAAATCACATTCTAAATTATGACATGATGAACGTAGAACGGATAGTTCTAATGAAGATGTTGGTGTTGATGAGCATAGTCTATGCATTGATAAATCGATATCATCATTGTCTTCAGATACTTCATCAATCCAACATGTAGATTCCAAAGTCAACTGCCAAACCTGTACAAACATATAGCAAGGAAGGTAAAATAATTGGTATCAATAAAAATACATCAGTATTTCAATCAAAGGTATCAACCTTTACAAATTTTAATACAATCTATCCTCTTTCGTTAAATTTGAAACAAACCGAGAACAACACGATTTACAGAATAAACATAAATGTACTTTATTGCACAGCTTCTTATCAATTGGAAATGACCTCAAGTAATTATCAGTAATAGTCTTATAGACAAAGTTTAACATTAACTAAGGCTTTTATTGAAATCATGAATTTATCTAAGTCAAAGCACTATTGAAAACCTAGAAGCACTGGGGAGTTCTTACTGTTGTTATTCTTGCTTTGTTTATATGAAAAAAGTGTAGACTTTCTGAAACGTAGAATATTCCGAAATTTGGATCCTAAATTTTGAGTGGCCGATTTAAAAAATGACTTTTTCTCTTTAAGCACTCCTTAAAACTATGTTTGTGCACAATATCCGACGGTCCTTCATTATAGCCTAAAAAATGTCTACAATGAATATCATTATAGAGTGAGAGAATAACAAAAAGTTACAAAACTGTTAAAAGTTAGTCTCCCGATTATGGTAACTCTGTCACTGATAAATGTTTAATGGAACTGAACCGAAGATATGCTCCTAACATTGTTCTAATGTCTTAAAATATGTTGAATTGAGATTCAAGACATCAATGAGAAAAATTTAAAAAAGATATTCCCATCGTTATAGTTTACATGATGGACTGAACTTAGGTAGACAGCCAGGAGTGGACAGCATGTCCTCATTAGTGACTAATTTAGAGAGGGGATTCCTGAAGTTCTATTGAGAATGGGTGGTCATTGGAGTTTAACAATGTCTATTATGAGATAGTTAAATAACAGTGGCATTAGAAGATGGTTACAGAATGTCACAAACTCATTCACGTTAGGACTGTTAACCAATGAATGCCGTCTCAGTGATTTAGAGGTTAAGCACTTGATGTGATATCCAAGATCCTTAGCTCAGTCTCTAATGGTGGAGTAGTTAATACATATTGTTGAATAGTCCCATACTAGAACGAATCAGCTATCCAGTGCTTCGTTGTTCAGATAAAAACATTATGTAATCCCGATCATATAATTCAACAATTCAGGAAACTCCCTATATTACTTTCTATTGCGCTTGGCTATTGTTATTGTTTACAATCCACTTAAAAAGTCCTTAAAAACATTGAGACCTTCTTACCAGGAGGAGATAAATTTAAAGATAGGTAGTTTTAAAAAAAAAAAAACAACTTTAGTTGTCAGTACTACCATATATATTTTGATAACAATAAGAAAAATCTTCTATAGAAAAGCCAAAAATCTAAAATGTTTTCTTTTTTGAGAAATATGGTTTAAACATCATTATTATTAATTGTCATTCATATTCATTAAACTAAAAGAATTTTGATTTCATTTGTGCATTGTGAACTCATGATTTCGTATTCAATAGTTTACTATTGAAACCGAAGTGAAGTGGTGGATCTATTAGTTGATCATCTGGCGTCGATTTATGTTAAAAACTAATTTCATGCTTAAAAAAAGGACTTCAATGAACAACCTGAGTCTAGTTAATAACAGGAGAATTCGTTTTATCATTCTTAACACACACACACACATACACACAAACAGAAAGACATGCATACCCATGAACAACAGACAAAAACATATGCACCGTAACACTCGCATGAATATACATATAACATACAAATTTAAGTGGTATACATACATATATGTATAGTTTTAGGACAACCTATTAAGTAATTCTCAGAGTATTAAAACAAATGCTTTTTATCAGGTAAAAACATTATAATGTCAATAAATACTACTCATATATGTATACGTATGGGTTAAAGAATGGGTTTTATGTATAAATGGATTTAATTAATTTTTTTTTTATTGACGGTTTAGATTTTGACGACGGAAGGGAAAAAAAGAGAGAAGATATGCTCATTTACAAGTATGGGATTATTTAATTATTTAGAAAAAGTAGACCATTAATAATACTCATAAAAATTTTGAATTGTTTTTTGATTCTTTCTTCTTAAGTATTAGATTTATGTATATAATAATGAAGTGGCTTAAATATTTACATGCTAATGGGTGAAGAACGACTTCAGTTGGATAGTTAAAGCAGTTGACTCTCATTCAATACGAGTTGCAAGTTTGAATGGATCTCGTTTAATTTATTTTGATTCAGGTAACTAGGGTTAGGTATTATCAATAACTTCGCATATACAAGTAGTGTAACAGTTCAAAGCTGGTTAGAGAAATAGGATAACTCCGCCTGTAGCTCTTATAGGGTTACTGCCGGTCCCAAGCCCGGGTAAAGGAGGAGGGTTGGGCATGGGGTTGGCGTCCACATCCCGTAGAAAACTAACTCGCTAAAAAAATGCTTACCGGAAAAAATAATCCAAACCATTTTAACTCTGCCCTGGGAGTTAGAAGGTCTTCGTTTAGAAGAATTATGACGCTTCATGGTGAAAGCCGAGTTCCTTCGGAAGCCACGAGGCCGATGCCCCTTCTAACAACCAGAGCAAAAATTTTTATAGGTACATGGAACGTTCGAACAATGTGGGAAACCGGGAAGACCAGTCAAATAGCAACGGAAATGAGGAGATACAACTTAGCAGTACTGGGAATCAGCGAAACCCACTGGACCCAAGCTGGACAGAAAAGGCTAGCTACGGGAGAGATGCTGCTATACTCCGGTCACGAAGAGGACAATGCTCCACACACTCAGGGAGTCGCTCTTATGCTGTCCAAAGTAGCACGAAATGCACTTGTAGGATGGGAATCTCACGGATCCAGAATCATCAAAGCATCATTCAAAACAAAGAAGGAGGGGATCTTAATGAATATTATCCAATGTTATGCACCCACCAATGATAGCAACGACGACATTAAAGATCAGTTCTACGAGCGGCTACAGTCAATCATTGAGAAATGCCCAAGAAAGGACCTAACTATTCTGATGGGAGATCTAAATGCCAAAGTCGGAATAGACAACACTGGATATGAAGATATTATGGGACGACATGGACTGGGAGAAAGAAACGAAAATGGAGAAAGATTCGCAAATCAATGTGCATTCAACAAATTGGTCATAGGAGGCACAATATTTCCACACAAGCGTATACACAAGGCTACATGGATCTCACCGGACCACACTACAGAGAACCAAATAGATCATATTTGCATCAACAAAAAATTCCGAAGGACAATGGAAGATGTGAGAACCAGGAGAGGTGCTGACGTAGCTTCAGATCACCACCTAGTTGTAGCCAATTTGAAACTGAAGCTAAAAAAGAACTGGACAAGTGGACAAACAGCACTACAAAGGTTCAATACAGCCTTCCTTCGAGATACTGTCAAACTCAATGAATTCAAGATAGCTCTCAACAACAGGTTCCAAGCCTTACAAGATCTACTGAAAGAAGAAGAAACTACTATGGAGGACAACTGGAAAGGCATCAAGGAAGCATTAACTTCAACGTGTCAAGAGATTCTCGGTCTAAAGAAATACCATCATAAGGAATGGATCTCTACAGAAACACTGGACAAGATCAAAGAAAGGAAGAACAAGAAGGCAGCAATAAACAACAGCCGAACACGAGCAGAGAAAGTCCAAGCACAAGCTGAATACATAGAAGCAAACAAGCAAGTGAAGAGGAGCATTAGAGCCGACAAGAAGAAATACGTGGAAGAACTAGCAACGACGGCGGAAAAAGCTGCTAGAGAAGGAAATATGAAACAGCTTCACGATACAACGAAGAAACTAGCAGGGAAATACAGTAAACCAGAGAGACCGGTCAAAGACAAAGAAAACAAGTCAATCACCGAAATTCAACAACAGCGTAACAAATGGGTAGAATACTTCGAGGAACTCCTGAATAGGCCGACTCCAATGAATCCACCGAACATCGAAGCAGCACACACAGACACTCCTATAGATGTCAATCCACCAACTACGGAAGAAATTAGAATGGCCGTCAGACAAATCAAGAACGGGAAAGCAGCAGGACCCGACAACATACCAGCTGAAGCACTGAAATCAGACATCGAAGCAACCACAAGCATGCTTTATCTTCTATTCAAAAAGATTTGGGAGGAGGAACAAGTGCCGATGGACTGGAAAGAAGGACACCTCGTCAAGATTCCAAAGAAAGGAGATCTGAGCAAATGTGAAAACTACGGAGGCATCACACTACTGTCAATACCAGGGAAAGTCTTCAACAGAGTGTTGCTGAACCGGATGAAGGTTGCAGTAGACGCCCAACTTCGAGATCAACAAGCTGGATTCCGGAAGGATCGGTCGTGCACAGACCAAATTGCAACACTACGGATCATCGTCGAACAATCAGTTGAGTGGAACTCATCACTATACATCAACTTCATTGATTATGAAAAGGAATTTGACAGTGTAGATAGGAGGACGTTATGGAAACTTCTTCGACACTACGGAGTTCCCGAGAAGATTGTCAATATTATCCGAAACTCATACGACGGACTACAGTGCAAAGTAGTGCATAGAGGACAGCTGACAGATGCATTCCAAGAAAGGACCGGAGTCGGACAAGGCTGTCTACTCTCTCTCTCTCTTCCTCTTTCTTCTGGTGGTCGACTGGATTATGAAGACCTCAACATCTGAGGGAAAACACGGCATACAATGGACAGCTCAGAATCAATTAGACGATTTGGACTTTGCAGACGCCCTAGCCCTCCTATCGCATACACATGAAAAAATGCAGATAAAGACAGCCAGCGTAGCAGCAGTCTCTGCATCAGTAGGCCTCAGCATACACAAAGGGAAAACCAAGGTCCTCAAATTCAAAGCGGAAAACAGCAATCCAATCACTGGTGATGGCGAAACTCTGGAAGATGTAGAATCCTTCACATACCTGGAAAGCATAATCGATGAACAAGGAGGTTCAGATGCAGACGTAAAGGCGAGGATTGGCAAAGCAAGGACAGCATTCCTACAGTTGAAGAACATATGGAACTTGAAACAACTTTCAACCAATATCAAAGCCAGAATCTTCAATACGAACGTCAAGGCAGTTCTACTGTATGGAGCTGAAACTTGGAGAACTACAACAACCACAATCAGGAAAGTACAAGTACTTATAAATGACTGTCTACGCAAGATACTCAACATCCATTGGCCGGATACCATCAGCAACAGCCCTTTGTGGGAGAGAACAAACCAGCTTTTAGCTGAAGAATAAATTAGGAAAAGACGATGGAAATGGATAGGACATACATTACGCAAATCGTCAAACTGCATCACGAGACAAGCCCTAACTTGGAATCCTGAAGGAAGGAGGAAAAGAGGAGGGCTAAAGAACACAATCCGTCGGGAAATAAAAACAGATATGGAAAGGATGAATTACAACTGGACGGAGCTGGAAAGGATTGCCCAGGACAGGGTTGGATGGAGAATGCTGGTGAGCGGCCTATGCTCCTTCACGAGGAGTAACAGGCGTAAGTAGAGAAATAGGATACTGGGCAAATGAGTTGGATTAATCAAAGCACCGCAAAACCATATTGATGGTCCAAGGTTCAATCTCGTGCAAGGTCATTTGTACACACTGTTAAGGAGTTGTAAACAAGGAGGAAACAACTGTCTAATGCACTTGTTGGTCGTTATTAATAGATGATTGTCAATGAGGAAAAATAAACATGTTTGTAAGTGGTATTCGTCCAAGATTGACCTCAGTTGGAGTACTCTAGAATATCCATGAGACATTGGTTAGTTATTTCATGCTATCATAGGACTACCTAGTAGCGCACATCCATGGTACAATAAAAGGGATCAAACCATGGACCTTTAGGTTTGGAAGTGAGCGATTAATCATTAGATAATTGGGTTAGTACTTTACGGCACTATGCTTAACTTGAATTAATTTTTGATGTGGCATGACAATCATCGAATGACGGTTATTTTACTCCCAAGCAGGCTGAATTCTATCAGTCACAATTTCCCACCTGTAACTTCAGGGATCCATCCCGAAGCCAATCGCTAGTGTACATACAGTTTATCAACAACTTATCGAAGTTGCCATAAAAACAAGTGAAAATTGTCCTTTAGTGTTTTTTAAGGCGATCATATAACATCACTTCTAATAATCGTTTCTTGTTTATGTACACAGTAGGTGTTATTAGAGCTTAATAATGGAAATCGATTTTTCGACATATTAAAGTAATACATATATCTTACTCATTAAATTTGCAGTGTATCTTTCTGATTACAAGTAAATGATGATAGAGATACCGAAAAACAAAATTATGGTAAATAATCTATAACTCTGACAACTCTACTTTGATGTGTATTCGGATCAAAGGACTTTTCATAATGAATAACTGAATTGTAACTGTACGACTGTTTTCCAATATTTTTCTCCTTTTCAACATTATTAAAATTTATCTAGACGATAACTAAAAATAAAGTTGAGGTTAGAGATTAACGCCATTGGATGCCGACCGGCTCAGTGGTCTAGAAGATAAGCTCTCGCGCACGAGACTGATAGATCTTCCGTTCGAATCTCGCGAGGCGGGATCGTGGATGAACACCGCTGAAGAGTCCCACAATAGGATGAAATGGCCTTCCAGTGCTTCCAGGTTTTCCATGGTTGTCTAGCTCCAGTTGACTCATGATCTCAACTATTAAAATTACTATAATATCCACAAAACCCCTTCTGATATCGAAAATAAAGGATTGTAAAACAGGTTTCACAATCGGTCAGTTTATCCATGTGAAATAACTATGGACAATCTTTGTCATCACTAAAAATATTAGACATAACGAGGCCAAAAGTTACCGTTCAAATTACAGAATTCATGAATCTTTTTTGTTTATTTTCAAGTTTCTTTATCTTACATAATTTACAATTGACTATAAAAAGAACGTAATTTGCAGGAAACAAGTTAACAAGGGTGGTGGTAGAAATATCAGTAGTAGTAGTGAACGCTACTATTATTGTATATGATTATTATTTCAGTATGAGAGAAATCTATTAGTTTTGCTTTTATATATATATATATATATATATTTATATATATATAAATGCATAAACATATGGGTAATATTGGAAGCTTCACCCACATTTTTGTCTACTTGCCAAATGGAAATTCACTGTTATGCTGCCTGCTTCTTCTCAATAACGAAAATTATTGAAGAGAATAAAAAATTCACATTATCGTCGTCGTTTAATCCACCCACGCATGGGAGAATAAACCCAATAAACTAATAGACGTACAAACCTACATACGTGATATATAATGGATGGATCGATAGATAGACATACAGTTCACTGAAATGTTTAAACCCACAACAAACTGAGTATTTAATTTGTAGCATTGCACAATTAACTAAATGTGATCTCAAAATAGCTTCTAAAAAAGTTTACTATAAATAAATAATGAAGGAAGCCTTTTTTCCCCTAATTTTCGTCCCTATCACGCCTACATAAATTTTTATTTTTATGTATTCTTTTTTTCCTTCAATTTGTAATCACGATTACATAATAAAAATAAAACTTAAAAACGAAGAAAAAAACAAGTAACCGTTGAAATAATAATAGAAATACGTTATTCAATTGATCGGTCAATTATCGAAAATATTCATGGTGGGTTAAAAACAAGTTTTGAAGTCTTTTTAGGTTTAGTTACTAGAACAGTGGTTATTATGTACATAACTGAAAAATTAGGTAGCTCACAGTCAGCTTAATGACTACAACAATTGACAGGATTCACTATGTAAACGATAAAAATAAGCAGAGTAGGTAACATTAAGAAATCCAGTATATGACGTAGATATTTCCGGATCAATTTAAAATGTACTGAAGTAGCTATGAATATATGAGGGCGCTTAAAGACAAGAGAATACAGTGAACGCACATAAAGGTAGTGTATCGTAATTACGAATAAACCGGGCAATAATGTACACACCAATTATCGTTCCATATAAATTGCACGTAAACCTTAAGCGATAATGAATCAGTTAGAGCCCAGCTAATGCAAATATTAAAATGTGTTCACGGTGAAAATTTTAAGTTTAATGTTTCTCAGAAATAATTCAATTATCAATCGTAAGTTATGAATAGTTCAAAACTGACTGTTCTGTCTACTGAGTTGTGAAAACAAAATACTCTATCTTGATGTGTATACACACCGGAAGTCTAACAATCATTTTATCGTATTACAAGCTGATACTGATCGTAGAATATAAAAAAAAACTAACAAACTGGATAACTGTTCCACCCTGCAGTGTGATTCACCGGAAAAACACACCTAAGAATATACTAATGACGCAACTGGACAGTTCAGGTTTCAAGGGAAACACACTATTGAGTTGGAATGTAATAATTCAAGTTGTAGAAATAGATCAAAATCAATTTGTAATAAGGTGCAAACTAACTAAGTCGAAAGGAAAACTCTATGATTCACTCATGATATTAATGAGAATCTCCAGGCGTTGCGACAGCAGCCGGAACTGTAGTTTTTAGGCTTGATATAGTGTGAGGTTAAGAATGGAGTGTACAACTGTCCGGTACTTCTTGAATTTTTTCACTGCTCATCAGCAGTCTCTTCGTGATAAAAATAAAACGTTTAGAATAATAATTATGTATATAAATGAATGAAAGAACGTATCTAATCCCTTTAATACAAATCTTACTTCGTAGGCTAATATTGGCGCACCACCAGTTTGCTTTGGTGGAGACCAACATAAATGCAATGAAGTTGGCTTCGGTTTACCGACAACACGTGGACCAGAACATGGTGCGGAAGGTGGAATTGGTGGCATACGAATTTTTAATGGTGGATAATTTGCTAAACCCCATAATTCATTATTACTATTAGTAATAACGGTATTAGTAGTATTTACATTAGTGACATTAGTTCCAACATTTATAGAGGTAATCATTTCATCCGCTGAACATTGATTTAAATTCAGTGTAGATATTATTCCAGATAACATTGAAGATGATGATGACGATGAAGATGACGAGGATGATGAGAAAGATGAACATGATGGATTCATATTATGATTATTTGCTAATGAACAACATGCACGTACACGTAATTGTAAATACAGTCCTGGTAGTAAATTGTCAATAAGTAATTCTTTTTCAGCACCTTCATAAATAATAAACCATGCAGTTTGTGGATAAATTAATTCAACATCATAATCAGTAGACTGACTGACAATTGAATTATTGTTCAATGTTATTGAGTTCGGCATTTGATTATGATCTATGTCTGTGTTTTCATTACTATTATTCATATCTACAGTTGTTCTGCTAGAAATCTTTTGATTAAATGAACTCAATGGAGGATGATAGGTAATATCTGAACTGTTTATTACGTAATTATCATTTGTAGAAGTAGTCGTAGAAGCAGGATTAGTGGTAGTAGTAATAACTGTTGTAGAATTAGGAGTAGCAGTACTAACTGATGTCGATTTTATTGCTGATAATGATGAATTAATTGATGATAATATAGACGAACCAGATTTTAACGCTGAAACAATATATGAAATTGAAAATTATATATATATATATATATATATATATATATATATATATATAAATGAACGAACTCATGGTCATCAACAAAATAAGGCCTGGCACACAGATGAACTGTCTAAAAATACTACACTCTAGATCAGTACAATGATAGATAAAATTAATAAGATGTATTGTAACGTAAGTAAAAAATGTGAGAAACACTAAACAACGAGAATGCAGTTTGGTTGAAGGAACTTCGTGGAGATTAGTTAAACTTGTAGGTTATATTCGCTAAAGACTGCGGGGGTAACTGTTTCATCATTGTACGAAACTCTAGTAACGCTCAGCCATGACCCAACCACAGATAGAACCAAAGACTATTAGGTTTCGCAGCAAACGCTTAACCAATAGAATGATTAAGTTGGTGTCAACTAGCACCCATCAAACTTCAATCAATTTGTGATATAATGTGATGATTATCTAATTTCATTAATAACATTTTTATTCACAACGTGTCTTAATGTGTTTTGATAAGAAAGAATGAGACTGAGAAGTGAGAAGTATAAAGCTTTGCATAGTTATTCATAAGAAGAAGAAACGCAAACCACTAGATGTTAAATAACTTTTGAATTAATTAATGTTTGAACGCAATAAACTGGTAAACTACTCGGTTCTTAGCAAGCTCTCCATACGGACACATATGCTTAACCGTTAGTAGAATTATTTTCGTCTAACTTATGATTAATTAACTCTTGCGACTACTCATTTATGTTTTTCATTAGTTAATAAAACTGATATAACCGCTGAGAATCAAACTCTACATCTAAATCTCAAAATCCCTGACTGATGATTGATCTAAAAATAAATTCTGTATACTAAAACGGTTTATGTTTGAAAAACCACTTTCGAAAATGTTTTTATATTAATGAAGAAGTGAAATTTTGAAAGTACGTTAATGTATTTCCTAAATATTTATTATGATATTGGGAATGTGTATTTAACGATTGATTTTATACCTTTATTTGGCTCATTAACTGTTGATATCTTGTTTACCGTAAGTAAATTCCAGGAAATTAACCATAAATCAAAATAAAAATACTTTAGCAAGGAAACCTTACTTTTTGAATGCTTCTTTGAATACAACTGTATACTCGAGTGTATAGTTTATTTTATAAATCACAGTCTATAATAAAATAGAAAATTATTGTTTCCCTAGTATCTTTATTATTGATGTAACGATTTTCCATCTAAGTGTAGACTATAATACATAAAATAAAGATCAATAAGATTGTACAGTTTAGTAAGTTAAATCGTCAGGAAGAAACGTTTTTCTTGCTATATTGTACTGACATTTGCCATACCTTTTTAACTTCATTTAACTTCATATATTATCTTATGTTAATACAATTCGACAAGTTTTGAAGATTGAATAACATAAGTGATATGACTTTTATCCTTGTCAATTATCACGTGACAAGATCGCCAATCCGAATATCGACTTATATGACCTTGTCCTTGTGATAAACCAATAACATATCAAAACAGCACTAGCAGCCTTGCATCAACTCTGAATCCCCATTAGTCTTTATCGCCTAGCCTTGTCTGTTGAGTCGAGAACACAATCTCAGGCTCCACTGTATGAATAATATACTTCAGATATACGTAGTTTATATAGAGACGGACCAGACCGCATCACACCATGAAATAAGAAATGACAATTATACAAGATCAAGGAAAAAGTGGCCGTGAGTGTGAAAGACTGTAACTAACAGATTAAGAATAACTTAAGAATAATAAATCGTATAACAGTAGCCAATAGGCCAGGTGAAAGCTAATCATAAAAGAAATATAAATATATATAATCTATTTAGTGAAAAGTTATACAATAAGAATATGTATAATGACAGTCTATAAATAGATTCCAGAAGTTAAACATAGCTTAATCTTTGTATACAACAATCAAAATAATTCAAGGTACTTGTCTAGTTTTCTTAGTGTTCCGGGTAATATTTAAGAGGAATGATTTTCAACTCATTGGTCTAAATGTCAATAATTTGCCACGAGACCTGACGGTCCTGGGTTCCATGCCCGGTAGGTTAATGGAAGCTCACTGTTTAGGAGTCCTATATTATAACTAAATAGACGTGTAGTGTTTCTTAGTATTCAGCGTTTATAAAGCTACAGTCAAACCTCAATGTTTACCATAAAATTAGTTCATTCGTTACATTACATAGCACGTTTCCCTCCTCTCAATATTCATGCTAACCTATCGCTTAAACTATGTAAACATGATGGTTTATTTCACATTCAGTTTTCAGTACATAATCACATAGTTTTTCTCTCTATAAATTATCATTATTGATCAATTCGTCAGTAATTAAAGCAAGAATGGTGAAAATTCAGAATGTACGGCATGTATCATAATTTATTTGACTAGTCATTTAGACACATCTGAATGTAAATTAATCCTATTGGTAATAAGACTTTATAATGGTGTAAAACCATCACTTTTGGACCTGATAATTATTATTCATACATATGGATTATTTTATTTATTTATTTATTTACTAATTTATGTCTGTTTCATTGGTTGACCAATAGTCGTTCCATTCTTTTCAGGACATATACGTTACTGCATCACGTTTCATATTGATGAAGATGATGATTCAAGGCAATTTTCGACCAATATTATTTACATCAAATAGACAATATTAAATTTAAGAATATTTATGAATAATTTATAATTTCACAGACATTTTCATTATTAATCTGATTAGGTTTCTAAAAACAAAACAAGGTAAAACAGGAGTGTATACACACAACACACATGTACACTTATTCAGTCAACAAATTTTAGAAAACAATTACAGTTAATCAACAACAAAAATAGAACAGATACTACCGAACAATTGCGAGGGCAGAAAGCACAGATAAACAGAAGTACAATAAAAATAGATTAAATAATGTTACAATAATCAACAAACACACAATGATTCAAATGTCGAAAAATAAACTAAAAATAGAAAGCGATGTATAGCGATATAGAGAACTTTGTACGAAATTCAAGTGGCCGCCTAGACTACTCAGCACATAAAAAATCTAAATCAACCTGTAGCAGAAAGAAAACATGATTATTACAAGTAATAGTGAACACTGTGTTTTAATTTATAAGGTGTGTCGACTAGGTTGTTTTTATTTTGCAATTATTGATCATTAGAGGAAACTAGCATACTTCAAATTCGAAAAGATAAACAATTTGCTACATAGTTCACATTTATTGACAATAATTTTAAAACACTGTGGGTGTATCTTCCTTGTCTAGGACTAAAGGAAGGAAAGACAAGAGAGAAACACGAAAAAGTGAAGACAACACAATTTCAAAGATTAAGAAATGTAGTGAACATCATCATAATCGTGGTCAGCCAATACATAACTCGTTAGGTAGAAAACTGTAGGGCACATATTGACAAGAATACAAAATTTTCGACAGATATGAACAAAGAAGGAAAGCGTCGGTCTTGTCAAATAATGCTTTGGAAATTTTTAAGGGGATTTAATGTATATGTTGGCGAAATTCAGTGTTTTGGGATTGTTAATCCTAGTAAGTGTTGATGTCGAAGCGAGAATTTGAAACAAAAAACTTATCAAAGATGGATAGTGGCTAGCAGTGGAATCCAGGACGCGCGTTTCGTCCTGTTTGGGACTCGTCAGCTGGATGTACCTGCATCTCAGAGTTGATGTTCACTCTGGGACTCGAACTCAGTACCGTCCGCTTCAAACGCCATCGCGTTATCCACTTAGCTACTGAGTCCTGATAGCCACTTGCTTGTGCAATGGGTTGAAGTTTAATTCACTTGATATTGTTTTATTTGAATCTTCCCATTGATGTTTTTGGACTGAAATTGATCAGTCTCTTATTGGCATATGTGCATACTGTGCGTATGCCTCGATATTGCCTTACAATGTTGCCTTACAATGCTTGTAAATTAAGGCAATATCGAGGCATACGCACAGTATGCACATATGCCAATAAGAGACTGATCAATTTCAGTCCAAAAACATCAATGGGAAGATTCAAATAAAACAATATCAAGTGAATTAAACTTCAACCCATTGCACAAGCAAGTGGCTATCAGGACTCAGTAGCTAAGTGGATAACGCGATGGCGTTTGAAGCGGACGGTACTGAGTTCGAGTCCCAGAGTGAACATCAACTCTGAGATGCAGGTACATCCAGCTGACGAGTCCCAAACAGGACGAAACGCGCGTCCTGGATTCCACTGCTAGCCACTATCCATCTTTGCTTACAATGCTTGTAAATTAAGGCAATATCGAGGCATACGCACAGTATGCACATATGCCAATAAGAGACTGATCAATTTCAGTCCAAAAACATCAATGGGAAGATTCAAATAAAACAATATCAAGTGAAAAAACTTATCATTTTTGTAACGATGCTGTATGTAACCCTTGCAGTTAACTTGATCAAAAAAACTGTTCAGCATCAATCACATCGTGTGTGAAGGATAGATCAAATACATACATTTACATGTACATATACCTTGTTTATCAAGTGAATGTTTCTTGTAATTGTTTTTGAGTCATATCACTTAAGAGCCAGTGTTACGAATAACGACGTCCAATATAGGTACAAATGCTTTCAATAAGTTTTTTTTATCTACGTATATTGGTGAGAAAATTGAGGACGTATTCGGAAGCCGTAATCGGGAAAGCTAAACAATTGGTATCTCTACATTTGTCATTCTGATCCGGACAAAGACGTGCAGGCTTAGGGCCTTGATTAGATGCAGAATCAATTCACACCAGTACCGGCAGTTGTTTATAAATTCTCATCAATCGTTTGACTACAAGATGGTACATGAGCACAGTCGTGTGATGTGCCTATACTGACATAGTCAATCAGCTAGTATACTGACCGGTTGCATGAACTGAGTTAGGCGAAGTGAGGTTTGAAATGACTATACAGTGGATGAATGTTGCATGTGTTCACTGCTAACTGGTTGTGTGGGTATGTGTAAAGACAATCCGCATAGTTTGCCACGAAGTCACAGAATAAAAAACAAAGATTCTTATTAAGAAAGACAATCATTTTACTCCTTATATTTTGATGCACAGGATGAGTTAAAATCGGAGGTTGAGGGTAAGGAGAAGATCAGATAGAAGATTGATAAAAATGCGCAGCAAGTGTAAAAAAAATATGACCGTAAAACCAAAGGAGAATCATCAAAATCTCATAGAAAAACTCTGCACCCAGAATTGCTTTTCAATGTCCAGTTGTATACAAAAACATTGTTCTATTCTCAAATAAACGAATATGTGTAGTAGGTATTTTCATTAGTGTTACAACACTTTCTGCAGATTCAATGGTAATAAATATATTGAATTCCGAACAGTCAAGAATTACGTGTGATTTCCAAAAAATATCATGAAAACTGTTGGCGATTAATAGATTGGATTTATTTGTTTTTCTTAACATTGAATATTTCATTACACTGGGAGTGTAATTATGCCAAGTTTTCCATGATTACGGTTATTTTCGAAAAACAAATTTACAATATTGGCATGACATTTAAAGCAGCATTGACGACTGTATTAATACGAAAAAAAACACAACTTAATTTAAAAGTTATAAACGTAACGAAGGAAGTATTGACATTTTCCAGCCCATTTTGTACATTTAAACTTTCAATTTACATGAAGAAAAAAAGAGGAAACTGTAATTATGCCCAAAGGAGAAAAAGCATTATGTGGAAAAAAAAGTATGATTGCAATATCTATTTGTTTTTTAAAGAGTGAAATACACGGTTTTTCTATATGAACAAAAAGGTTTCTTCTTTTTGTAATACTTCTGAAATAAGGTAATCTTTACAAACAAAAAAAAGATTTTTGCCGGTAGGTTGACGACAGTCTGCTTCGTTTGATTAGTTGTTGGAATCTGTATTTTGATTGGCTGAATCTGACTTATATTTGGATTGCTACAATGAGAAGCTAAGCTTATAATTAGTCTATTGGGTTAATTGACAAAAGAATTTGACCTTAGACTAATAGTAGAAAAAAAACATAACTAATTGTTCCTGTTTTAATAATAAATATCAATTTAAGAAGAGTTGATTTTATAAGAAGAAAAAAAATTGTCATTATTATTAATAACATGTACTTACGTGTAACATGAGGCCAACATGTTAATTTTTGAATAACATCAATTTGATCATCGATTTTCTCTAGAGAACAATTGACTACTGAATTATTGAGGTCATTTAATTTTGTATGGGAACCGTTGGTTAGTGTTCCATTTGGTAGGGTGGAATTACCACTATTACTATAAGGTAAGAGAGCTTCTAATCGATAAGCTTGAATGGGAATTCCACCATCATCTTCTGGTGGATCCCATGTTAAAGCTAATCGAGTTGGTTGTATAAATGAACCGTAAATCTGTAATAAATAAATAGAATTATAGTAATAGAAAGGATCATCTGAGTATACGAGATATATGTATGTATTCAGTTAATGTAAATTAGAAAAATGAAAATTTGCCATGATATTTACACAATTCTCAAATAGATTATTCAGATAATTTGTTCCATTATACAACTTACGTGATATGATCTTGAATGTGAGATTTGGACCCAGTTTCACAATCTGAGACGTTATCACTGAGATATTTGTGATAGAAATGATCTCTTGTAGGACCAGTACGAAAAGTCTGCTCAGTGTTTCCTGACGACTACCACCAACTACCTAACAACCCATGGATTAAAGGTGGACTTAGTGACCTGAGAGCGTGACCGCAGTGCCCAAGGGACAACTGCCTAAGGTCCGTCACACACGACCTTTTTAAGAGTAACTTTCGTGTTGGCTCCGTACTTGTTGAGACCTTACCTTACCGGAGACGGATATCCGTGGGATAACGCGAGGTGTACATTTTTAGGGTCAACCTTTCCTAACCTCACCTCTCCTTGTGGGAAGGCAGCATCGCTGTCACGCTGGTTGTCTGAAGGAAACACCTTACTGCTGTCACACCTCTGCACAGTCAGCAGTACGACTTCGCCTTCGGACCTTGGGTTTGTTGCTTTTAATCTTACCGTTCTTCAACCGACCTGTCTGACATGGTAGGACCTTGAAGAACGATTGTTCCAGCCAGTATAGCTTGATTGGTTCATCACGATAGGCAAGCCCGACCACTACGTCCAGGTAGCAACAACGGTCGGGCCTGCGTCAACACCTGAACTAAGGATAGGGAGTGAAGTAGTCGAACGCGTTGACAACTTCACTTATCTTGGAAGTCTGATCAGCCCTGATGGGTCGGTGTCTGACGAAATCTCAGCACGGATTCGAAAAGCTCGTTTGGTTTTTGCCACCTTACGTCACCTCTGGCGAAGATGAGATATCCGTCTATCAATAAAAGGACGAGTATACTGCGCGGCAGTCCGTTCTGTTCTACTTTACGGCTGCGAAACGTGGCCATTAGGAGTAGAAGATACTCGTAAACCACTAGTATTTGATCACAAATGTCTTAGAAATATTGTTCTCATCTGCTGGGATCACCGGGTAAGTAATAGTGAGGTTAGACATAGAGCATTAAGACATATATATATATATATATATATATATATATATATATCCGATTTAGCAGTTTACATTGTCTTGTATGTTAAAGTAGTTTTTTACTTTAAAAAAAGAATACTCACCCGTAAGTTTCTTGGTGGAGATGGATGATCAGGTAAAGTGGCCAGTGTTATTGTTTCACTCCAACGACTTCGGCCATCAATATTTGATGCAGCTAAACGAAATCGATAACGTGTATTACGACGTAAATTATCAACACAATGTTCTGTACCAGAACCGTCAAAAACAGTGATAAATCCATGTCCCATAGTTTGATCATCCATTTCTAATGTATATGTAATTGGACTTAAGTGATTGCCATAATTTGATGAATTCATATGATCACAAATATTACTTTGATTATGATGGTGATGGTGATGAAGATGATACTGATATTGATCGGGATTAGTTGGTGGACGCCAACCTAATGTTAAGGAATGAACATCAGCTTGAATTAGGAATGGTGGTAAAGGCATCTCTGGAGGACTACCAGATGTAGAGGCGGAGAGTATTGGACTCCAGGAGCTTTTCAAGAGAACATGGGAATCAAAAATACAGATATATGAGAAATATGTATATTAAAATACTAACTAACGATTATTATGAAATGATCTCTGCTACTTTTCAAACTTTTAACAATAAGTCATTTGGCATGTACAGGTTTATTTTAAATGATTGTAAGTAGATGACGGATAACCATATATAACCTAGATTTCGTGCTAGTTGGCACTCATCAACAGGGTATAATTGTAACATTGAGGAGACTGACTATCACTGAGTGATTTAAACAAATGTAAGTCAGTTTTATGGTTTGGATCATTATCAAGAAGGTATCTAGATTACGACTCAGTTCGGATATATTTACAGTGACTGATCACTGAGTCAGTCAGTATTTAATAATCAATTAATGTACAGGATTATGTACTTGACTCTGACCGACACTCATCGTACAAAGGTTAATGCTACTACCTAGGTACTCAAACCGAAGAAGTGAGAGTGGACTTCACAGTAGTAACTTATAAGTTGAAAACAGACGGCCCTAACAAGTGAAAATTGAAAATATGGGAGTCAATCGATTCCTCAAAAGTAATTATTGTGTAAATTGGTACTACAAACAAGAATGTAAGAGTTAATGAACCCGTGGGACGCCCCAAGAGAAGAGAACAACAAGAACTGGGACCAACAAATTCTAGCTATTCACAAAAAACTGTCCTACAAATCTGACGGAATAAAATTGTTTACAAGACACATAGAAGAAAACACAAATATCGAAAACTAATTCATTAGGCAAACTGAAAAACTGTGACGAAAGTGCGAGTACTTTATGAATAGGGAAAGACTAAAACCACATCTGAACGCCATAGTATTGATAATTATCGTGATAAAAATGACTAAATAACAGAAATACGACGCCAAGAAAATGAAATATTTCAAGGGAGGCATCATTTCTTTCTCTCATTCTCACACACCCACTCGTTCGCTCTCTCATTCACACACCCACAAACACATATCCAAGAAAAAATCAATGAAAACCCCTAGCCAGACTTGTCCAAAAAGAGGTTACAAACAATAAGCTGATACACTATACTATACCTTTGTCCATATTGATTTATTGCTGCAACACGAATTAAATATTCCGTAGATGGAGACAGTTGATTTATTTTATACGATCTACCAAACACTTGAATTGGTTCAAAAAATTCTGGATCCGGCTGTGTAAAAAAAAGTTTAGGGAAATGACGCAAGAGTAACAATAATAATTTTTTATAACATCGTTAAGGCATAAAATTTTTAAGTAACGTAACAATTATTCTAATAAGAAATTACCATAAACGTAAGTTTATTTTTTCTTAAAAAAAAATCATCAAGTAACATAAACATGATCTATTTATCTAGATAAATTGAATATATTATTATTATTTTGTGTTTATGAGAACTGAATGTCTATATTGTGTAAATAATGTAACTATTATTCAACTCTTTCTTCATGATTAAATACGAGAGGAGAGTGGAAAAGATTTGTAGCTCAGGCGGATGATTTTGATGGAGTTTTGTTCTCTGAAGTGGATGGTTTGGTCGTGGAGCTTTCATCGTTCTTCTGAACAATATCATGATATCAGAGAACAAAACTCCATCAAAACTAGAGGAGAGTTTCTATAAACATAAAACAAAAGACTTAAATATTTCTGAAACAAAAAAGTTTCTTGATAGTAAGTGAAAGAACTAATAAAATAAAACAATGATCTACCACAACACAATGCTCAAACCCAGTGTAATGGACGCTACCCACAAGATTGTTTGTAAGTAGTACGTAGCAGAAAATGGAATTGAAATTGCAACAATGGACAGACTGAGTGAAGAGTTTCAGTACGTCGAAAGCAGAGCATTGGTATAAAACGTGGATGAAAATGTAATATTGAAGGTTATGTATATGTATTAAGTAAATACTTTGTAATTTCTCACAATAAATATGCATTACTTCTGTCTACTGTCGTACTTTACACTTGTATATGAAGTTCAGTGTAAGTGTCTTTTTGCCTTGATACTCAAACTTAAGACTTATCAATTCAAATAGTATCATATGACCGATAAAATTCTCTTTCCTCGTTTGAAGCGTATTAGTTATTATTGATGGTGTAGTTGATTCCTCTGAAGTAGATAGCCAGATAATGAAGATTTCATCATTGTTTTTAGATAACATCATCGGTGACTATTTTGCAGAGAAATGGGTTACTTAGTAGTTCCACAGGCCTTAAATCTCTTCATTTTGGTGAGCTTGTTTGAGAAAGAGTGGAATGAAAACCTATGGAATAACTGAGAAACTTACTACTATATGAAATGGACACCGATATCGTCTCAAGAATGACAATGAAATTTCCACATACAAACCATTTAGCCCAGAGAATTCAACAACACTGAAAAAAATTCATTTTCAGCCGAAAATCTTTTGCACTACTTCATTTATTGTTATTACTTAAAATTTTCCGTTGTTATGTTAGCTGACGAGAACCAAACAAAATAAAATGAATTCATGCTATTCTGCTAGAATCTTTGTTCTTGCTCTTTTCAAAATGATAAAAGGAACTACGTGTATGACAATACTTGATCGTTGGACATTATATTTAAATAACGGTGCCCTGCTCAAACCCCTGACTCACTATTTCACCGAACGCGCATTTTACATCCTAAATTTTTCTGTTTGAGGCTTATTTTAATTAAGTAATGATGTCTATCAACTGCATCTACTTACACAGTCGTATAAAATGTTAACAACATATCTCAAACTCAATTACACGGAAATTCAAGAAATAATACCACAATGGTTAGTGTACTTTCTTCTTCTTTTGACTTTTAAAGAAACAACAAAGTCAATACTACATAGAATTCATACTTACAAATAACTAATCTTTATAATTTTACAATTCATAAACTAGTAGTATAATTATTAGCTTATTTCGATGATAGAGTCAATATTAAACAGATCCATAGGTATGGTATGTGCTTCGCACCTTCTAAATGCAAAGCTGGCATGACCCTGATCCTGTACTCACCCTGGGTAGTGAGTAGATAGAAGTAGTCGAGAAGTTTGTGTATCTAAGTAACTGCATAAATGCTGGTGGAGGCGTGAGTGATGAGATCAACTCACGTATAGAGAAAGCCAGAGCCGCCATCTTTGGAGACTTAGTGATGTTGGTCTGGCTGTAATAGGTCAGATCTACAACACGTCAGTGAGGGCAGTTTTGCTCTATGCTTGTGAAACCTGAACTCTCAGAGTTGAGGATGTTAGACAACTCTCTGCGTTTGATCACCGTCGTCTCATAAAGATTGCTGGTATCCAGTAGTAACACCATGTTAGTAATGCAGAGGATCGGGCTCAGTGATGATAATCCAATTGGTGTCACCATCATGAAACATCGACTTCGGTGGCTTGGACATGTTCTACGAATGTCGTCCCAGAGAATTCCACGTCGTGCATTATTTGCCGACTCTGGGACTGGTTGGAAAAAGCGGAGAGGTGGTGAATGTATGACATTGTGTCGTGGTATGAAAAAAAGCTGCAAAGGGCTGGCTTGTGTTGGTCATTCACGACTCCCTGGCTGGGGTCCGAGAGATGGTGTAAAACAGTGGCTAGAGACGTTATCAGATATGGTTCAGAATAGAAGCCAGTGGCGATCCTTCTGCAACCTTCTTTTACTTTCTTCATAAAAAGTAGCCGTAACTTTTCATACGCACCTTGCATTCTTTATCTCTTCCCATTCTCATTATTATTGTGTGGCGCATATGTATCTGGTGCCCCCTTGTACTAAAATTTATATGTTCAAGTAAATAATAAATAAACAGATCCTAATGTCTGAATTTATTAAATTCGTTCAATATGGTTATCTGATTTCTGTTGACCTATTTTAAGAAGAAGAATTTTCAGTTTCAATGAGAAACTGTGATGAATGAAGTTCATTTATGTTTAGTGTAAGACAATCACTTATCGACAATATTTTGAACAGATTAAAGTTAAGAAAAATATATACCATTAATTGGTCAACTCAGTAGTCTAGAAGTAATTTACTAGCCATAAGAGGTTTGAACTATAGAATAGGGTACACATACTAAGACAAAAAAATATTGTTTACTGATTCTTTTTTTTAAATGATTCTTTAATTAAAATTTAATCTGTGAAGTGAACTACATTTAATTTGATCTAATCCCTTATGATAAAAATATTGGATAATCTCAGTGATATAATGCTACTTAAATGACTAAAGTTTAAATAAGAAAAGTAATGAATATTAACTAAGAACATTCTAGTTATGAGATTTACTATCAATAAACAAACATTTAACTTTTAGTAAACTAGAAAAATAGAACAAAACACTTATTCAGTAGTTGATATTAGCCGGGAACGATTGTTTGACTACATAACCCAAATGATGAAAAATCCTTTTTTTTAAACATGATTTTATCATTAGTAAAGACGCCAATTAAATTTATATGAAATTCAGCTAGATGTCGACAATTATTATACTTAATTAATTAATTAGTAATCAAAAGGGATAATAATCTATTTACATAATGCATCAAATACATTTGTTTTCTTCTTCAAATAATTGAACATGAAAGACAATACCAGTAAAAATTCTATGATATATACAAATTATTTCCAACCAAGAAAATTCTTTATTGGTTCATAGCTATGAGAAAATCAAACAATAGATTTCTATTTAGAGTTGATTTTCGGTGAAAAATTTCATGACCTTGAATGTCTAAGAGTTATTTTTAGTACAGGATTGCAATTTCGAGAGCTAGAGTGAACTATTCTCATCCTCGAATATACTAGAAGATTTGTATCACATATATTATTCTTATCTAGGTTATTACTGTTGCACATAAAAACTTTATCAGAAGTTAGGAAAAATATGCGACTAAGATAATACTTCTGGCTAAAATGTTGAATAACGTGGGAACCTATCGAGTGTTTTAAAAAAACATCTTAGAAACGATTAATAGTTGAATAAGTCATAGGATTTAAACATGTAGTTTCAAAATAAATAGTCACGAAGTACACAGAAGATACTAAATCATTCCATGAAACCATTGACTGCTGCCCACAGTCATGGTGGTAAATGCTGAATAAGTTGTTGAGATTCACACTATTATTGTGACAGATAGTTCATAATATCGGGAGTTATGATTCAAACTCGATTGTGGTGATACAGATGCATTTACTCTTTGTCAACATATAGATCCTGAGATACAAAATTGTTTTATAGTTTGTATTCTATGAATTTATGCTTTTTTCTTAAATCATATTCTCTATGGCTAATCGTTTTTATTGTTACTAATATTGCTAGTTCTTTGTTATTCATTTCGATACTTTTATCTCGTTATGTTAAAGTAACCCCATTTGGATCCTTTCTAGGGTTACTTGTGGTGCCATGTCTGGAAGAACGAGGAGGATTGGGTATGTCTTAACAACCCTATTCCGTAAAAAGAACCTTGCTAAAAATCCACTAACCAGTAAAGTTCTTTAAACCATATCAATGTACTGTAGTAATTTCAATAGTTGAGATCGTGAGTCAATTGAAGCTATACCACCATGGAAAACCTGGACGAAACGGCCGTCCATTGCTTCCAGGTTTTCCATGGTGGTCTAGCTTCAATTGACTCACGATCTCAACTATTGAAATTACTACAATCCCCACAAATCCTTTTCTGGTACTGTAGAAACTTAGGCCGATGTGTATATTTATTTCGTTACTATCTACGACCGACTGGCAGATCAATACATAAAACATCAGAAATTAAGGTTTTACTGATAAAAATAATAATAACTGTGATCGAATTGAACTCTAAAACGCTTGCTTAGTAATCTGGTTCAGTGTTTCACTAGGGAAATAATATTCAAAAACACAACATTGTGATAAACAAAGGATACCTAGAAAAATATCCCAAAATATCCATACACGGGTACATACAAATATATATGGCTCTTTATTATCCTATAAACGTAATCAAGCCTTTTTAAATATTTGTTCGAATTACCATCGTGAAATAATTGAAACTAGAAATGTAAATTATTGGGTACTAAATTAATGGTCTCAAAGTTATTCGTTCGCTAACAGGCCTAAATGTCTTGAGTTCAATCCACTGTAGGATTGATAACTAGTGAGGAGTCCCATATTAGAATGAAATAGTTTTCCAGTGCTTCCTAGTTTTT